ATCTCATCTTGCAGATCGCGATTAAAAAGGATATGTGTCTGATGTTCGTCTTTGCTGTCGTCGTCGCAGATACAGTCAGACAACCACACTCACTTTAGTGAGACTTGGGTACCTCACTTTAGTAGCGCTGCTTGGAGTTACGTACTCTCATTGCACGGCAAGAGGATGGCTGCGTCGTCTTGTCATCACGGTTGCATGTCTTGTTTTCCCAGCTATTACCGGTGTCTTCCTGTTCCTGTCTTACACGCGTAGTCCCTTCCGACCGCCAAATTGACCACCTAACCACACCCTCGAAAAACAGAGAGGAGGGGTGTGGCGTGCCTCTCAGTATCTCATCCACCCACTCACTCACCTCGTGTTACTCTTGCAAAATCAAGAGGAGCCGCCATGCTGCCACGCTGCCACAAGAGGGGATATTCCGACAACGATTGACGGTCTGGTTGGCTGTCACCGATCTGCCCCCCTCAAACCCCTCCCTTGGTCGGGTAATCTGTTTCGCTTGGGAGCAGGTAGATGGCGTGTGTGTGGCTGATCAGCGCTCCTGCTGATCATCTTCGCGGCGCTTCCCTGATGTCTTCTCCCCCAGCTTTGCCTCCTTCGCTTGTCAATCAGTGAACCCTTTTTTACCCCCTCCGCAATTCCCTCATCTCATGCACGCTCCCATCGAAGATCTATGTTAACCGAATGCTTGCCTCTTGGAACCCCTTCAATAATAAAGCAGAAGATCAGACGAGAGAGCCAAGACCTGCCCTTGCCCCCATTTCCTCTTCCATCTCGAAACGCTCCCTTCAACAAAAGGGCAATGTCTCTGCTTCAAGTCTCCCGATACGGAATACTCCCGCGCCCTTGAGGGCCATGCCACCCTGAGCCCTGTCAGAGAAATACAACGGCTGTCTAGCGGGAGGGGGGAAAGAGCACCACCAAGCCACTGCCGCAGCGCTGATGCTGAGTGGCTGAACGCCTCACGGTCAAGATCGCCTCAACGGAAACCATCACCATCCTTCAGCCTCCATTGGGACTGGCGGATGCTGAGAGGATCCCCTCCTCCCCTAAACCAAAACGAAAAAAAAAAGCCGCCACCGGTCTAAGCCAGAGAAGGGAAAACTCGTGCTTTCATCATCAGCCGTTTACGTCCACACGCAATTATCCAATTGATGCCGCTATTCTGCTGCGGAGTTCTTGGCTGCCGCACAAATGGCATTATTTTTCTGGTGGGAAGAGAGCCCACACACACGCATACGCATGCGCGAAAATGGTTCCTGAAGATGGAGCGGCGCCACGCAACGCCATGGCACGACGAGAGTTCGTTCGTCTCGCCTCGGGCTAAGCTGCTAACGGCAGGAGGGCAAATCCGCCCACGCAGGCGGCGAAACGGGGGTTCAGTCAGACCGAATTTTCTGTGGCCTTATCGCTTTTCGCAAGCGGACTCGTGGATGGTCCGTTCCTGTTCCTGTGCCTGTTCCTGGCCTGAGAGAGAGAGAAAGTTTGTTAGTTTCTCTTACCTGGCCTTCGTCTGAAACGAACGTGGTCGTCGATGAATCACCCAATCCATCCCGACGGGACCGGAGCCGTTCGCGGACAGCAACGAATGGGAGGGCATTGGAGAGATGCTGCGGTTCCTGAGAACTGACAGGCCACCACCACATGGCGGGCGGCTGAGCAAGCAAGCAAGCAGACACGCAAGTGCGTTCGCCGTGCCCCAGCTGCCATCGCATGTTCTGCATGCACTCTAACGCAAAAGACTGCCGCCGTTTTGTTCTCACCACCACCCTTCCCGTATGCAGACCGCGGGTATGTCCTCCGCACCTCATTCGCCGGAGCCCATGTATGTATCTCACATCCCATCCCTTGGTGTTGCCATGTTTCTCTAGGGTTGATCTTCTTGGAGGGCTTCTCTTCTCCATGTTCTCAGTCAGCGAGCATCAAAATCATCCAATGTTGGAATAGCCCCTCCCCCGGTCCGAGGTCTCTCTCTGGGGTCTACAAACGCCGTTCGGGCTTCGATTCGATCTGACTCCACCCCCATATTCCCGCGCATCCGGACCTGCTTCTCCTCCACCGAACACCTTTCAGCTGCGCCGTGCATTCATCACCCCCGGCATCCCTGGCAAACACTCATCAAATTGTCAGTCAAGCATTCCGATTGGCTCACTACGCACCACCTCCCAACTGCCCAAGCCACCAGAAACAAAGAAAGAAAACCGGTAGGAAAGTGTATATTGCTTGCTCAGCTGATCGTGACCCCCTCCTCTCGTAGTTTTCAATAGGTCCAATAGTGATCAACTCCGCGAAAGAGGTCCCAGCACGCATGCATCTCGATCTCGCGAAGAACCTCCCACCGGCCGCCGATGCTGTAGAACATCTTTTGCCTTCAGGAATCCAAGGGCATGTCACGCTTGCCATGCAACCACCTCGTGCTTGAAGGGGCTAACATGACTGACACTTGGCTCAAGAGACCGTTGATAAGAATAGTTTTCAAATGTTGGTTCTGCCTAGGCTCATTGGATCGGTGATGCCGCCTATGCAGTATCCTGCCTGCCATCACGTCTGCATCATGCACACCCTCTTCTTCCGTAGTTCGAACAACCTCCCACCCCTTGAACGTACGATACCACCACTCCCTGTGGTATTTCCAATGCCGAACCGATTCCCAATCCTCCGAGAGTTCTCGGAGGCTTACAAAGTGTAGACGTCGTCGACCAACATCGCGGCCCCCACTTGGTTCGATGCTCGTGCAGACTTACAGAATTTACCGATCAATCGGAGACGTTGGAAGGGAGGGAGAGACGATGCGGTTGCAGAAAAGTAGCTCCGCCCTTGGACCAGAACGCGCACGCCCAGCACGACGGCCCAAAAAAAAGTTTTCTGTGTATCACCCGGCCCCGTGGTGACTCAACACCGGCGACCCGGCGAAAGGGAGGAGAAGCGAGTCAAAGACAAGACAGAAACTTCTCCAGCGGATCCCCCGTTTGTCTGCCTACTGCCTCGCGTATCCCAAGAATAGCGACGCCGATGGTTCGTTTTCGAGGCTTCTAGGCGGACTGGTGCAAGTGCCTAGCGCAGCAAACACCGAAGTACAGCCTCGTCATGATCACGCCGGCGACACGTATACGACGAATAGTCATCGAGGGCTCGTAGTGTTTGTCATCGCCGAGAGCCCAGTGCGCCCCGTTGGCCAACAGGATTCCGCGTTCACGGTTCCCACCCCGGATACCGAGAGGATTTCCCAGCTCCTACGAACCGGAACACGAATCCCAGAGATCCCACTCTGACTCCTCCAGGAGGGCTGCAGCCGTCCAATCCTGCCGAAGGGGTTCGAAGCTGTCAGACGGTTTAACGCCAGCCACAGAAGAAAAGCCCCATCCGCATCAGTCAGCAAGTGCCGCCAAACAGCCGTTTCCCCATCAGAGCCGGACTGCTGGGCTCAAACTCGCTGCGGGTACGGGTGACGGCATCCCGACGATCCCGATCGACAGAGAAATCCTGGTCCGCCCGCGGCTGCACCCCTCAGTTTCTGAGACCGCCCTTTCACCGCACTCACGTTCAGGGCGGCCTTCTTTTGCGGTCAAACACAGATCATCGATATGTTCCTGTGCAAAACCTGCCGTGTAATTTGCCACTTGGCCGAGCTGAAAAGCTGAATGGCTCACCGGGGGATCTTCGCTCTGCTGGTGTCGCCCGCTGTAACATGATCGACCGATGCAGTGCGACGGAGAGCAACTTTGAAACAAAACGGCCGCTTGAACGATGGGCTTGACAGGTCCAGCAGGGCTGATATCTTCCGACAAGGAACCGTTGACTTCGCGCCCTACGAGTCCACGATAATCTCAGCTCGATCACGATGCAATCTGCTCCACAATAACTTTCATTCTTTAATCGAGATCGCAAGTCCCGATCGAACATGCGCGCGCACACATAAGAGGGCCAGGATGATGATGCCCTGCATGTAAGCGCCTGGTACGCGCGAGAGGTTCACTTGGAGATATGCCGAAAAACGCTTGATGATTCAAAATTTCGAGACTGAGACCCGTATCGTCGGCCGTCGACTGCGCCGGCCGAGCAATTTGCTATGTTGAATGATGTTGATATTGGCAGCCGCCTCGTCAGCCCCCGTGAGGAATTTCTGCCCGCGTGGTAACGTGTCGCGCATCGTCAGGCGGGCGTCCGAAGGGAGTCGACATCAGTTTGTCCCGAGGGGGTTTCGGACCCCGTGTCGACCTCCCGACCCGACAGCGTGCTTCTCACATTCCAGAGATCTCCCAGCTTCCTTCGCTAAAAGGGCGTCCTGATAGACTGCCCATCAAGACATCCTGTTTCGACCCCCTTGGGTGGGGATGAAGTGGTCGCCAAGGCACAACCTGGTCGACCCCAGATCGACCGCAGGGTGCGTCATCCCGCGTTGCAAGCGCCCAGGAAAACCCGCCCTTCCGTCGTGCAATTCCCACAACAACGGCCGCCCGCCAGACCCTTAAAAGAGCTCGACATCATGCGTGCATGCCTCCCGTCAACGGCAGCCAACCGTGGCCGCACCGCACCGCACCGCACCGTAAGACCCGTCATATAACGATTGGCATAGGGCTTGATATGGTGACGTCAAACGCGCTGTGCGGCTGTGTTGAACCCTGAGTGGTGGCTTGAGGTTTGTTGTTGCGCATTGATGCAAGGTCGGTAGCACCCGAGATTAGGATATGCAATTTCCTTGCGTCAACATGAAAAATCCTGGCAGCCAACAAGCGCGCGTTGCCGCCTGCCTCGCGTTCGGGTTCGTGTGAGGCTAGAATGGGATTAAAGTAGGATGACGGCCGCGCTGGAAGAAGACGCGGACCGCGAAGCTGAAGAAATCAACACTGGAATCTCGTGCCCGCGCGTGCTTGTGATCTCGTCATCTGCCTCATCTCGATCTGTCCAGGATGTGGGCTCGTGTGATCGAAACTTTTTGTGTGCGTTGCGGTTCAATAGCCAGTAGATCGAGATGCGAGAGGCAGTCGCCGTGGAGGAGTCTACTCGATGATGCCGTCGTGCTCGCCCTTGAAACGCTTCACACGCTTCTGCTCCCAGTTGTCGATGTCCTTGGCCGCGAGACGCTGTTTTCCCAACAATGTCAGTCCTTCATTTCTTTTCCCTCTGCGTCATTTCCATGGCTCGCGCAGCTCCCTCAAGAGGCTGTGAGCTTGGCAGAGATTGACTTACGTAGTACTCCTCCTTCATGTCGACCTTGCGCGCCGACCGCCGCATGCTCAGCTCCTCGTCCCTCGTCATCTGGCGCACCCTTCTGTCGTGCTTTTCGTAGCGGATGGCCGTCGCGGGGGTCAGGACGAAGGAGCCGGCGACCATGACGGCGACGAAAGGCAGACCGAAGAGCAAGAAGGGGCGTTTCGCCATCATGGCTCGGTACCTCGCGGCGAAGTTGTTTGTGTCGACGGACGACTTGAACTTTTTGCTGTCGAAAACGGCCATGGTGGCGGCGGGATTCCTGACGGTATTCAATTGACGGCTGCTCGTGCAATGGTAGTCGGTTGAACCAGTCGCTGCAGAAACAACAACGTCAACGTCTTCAGATACTATCGTGGGTATTCGCAATGGCTTCACTCAGGGCGGCACCTGGGGTGATGCGCGGAGGTGGTCTGATCTGAGGATGATGCGGAAAGCAACGAAAGAGAAGAATACCGAACCAAAAGCTGACAGGTGCAGTTTCCTTCCGGAGCTCCCAGAAAGTTTGAGCTTTCCATGGTGCCAGGGTGCCCACCAGGCCTCCACTAGCTTCCGCGCACGTGCCGCACAGTGTCGAGTCTACGGCGCCGTACAGCGGTGCAGCTGCTGAGGGCGTCCAGGGCGTCGTTATCTAATCGCAGCCACTGCGGCGCCCTGTCTCAATGTTGCTCTTCACCATGAATGAGTTTACCCTCACCTGAATCTACAACCGCAATAAGCCGCCCCGATGCGCCGTGGCGGCCCGTCTTTTAGGTATATCGATTCAGTTAGTCAAAGTTAGCATGTACTCATCATATCTCTGCCAGCAGAACCACAAAGTGACTGGGCAGTTTGCAGAGGAATGCTTGGTCCCCTAAGCCTCAGAGTAAATGATGAATGACGGAGCTTAACATGCCAACACCAACATCAAGACCCAAAACCATGGCGCGTTGCGGCTCAGAGCCATCTTGAGTCAATGAATCCCGCCATATCAGTGCCCATCGCATAGAACATGTCACGGTCTAGATGGCTGACGTGGACCCTCCAAACGGTCTCGACCGACTCCATCCGCATAATCCGTCACCGGGCAGAAGGTCCCCCGATCTCCACCAGCCTACCAAGCCGGTCCCTCCCCCGAACTTGATATCAAGGCATTTGACAAACACCACAAATAGCAGCAACCGTCTCTTCCACTCCTCACTTCTCGTCTTACGTTGCTGTTTCTGGGACCAGCCGGGTACAGAGTACGGGATGCCTCCACGAAGCTCCGTGTACACGTAGACACATCAGCCACTCCGTCCGTACTTTTGAGTTGCCGTACTCAGTACTCGAGTTAACTCAAGTCACCTCGTCCCTCATCTGAAACCCGGCACGAGCCCAGGAACGCCCTTCGCCCACAGTGTTTGCCCTCTCTCACCGTCCCACCCGCCGTGTTGCCCAGCGATGTTCCCCGCAAACCCGCCCCAGCCCTGGCACGTCTTGTGTCTTGGTAAACCCGTTCCGTCCGTTCTCTTGCCGTTGTTTTCCCTGCTTGCCGGCCCTTCCTAAGGCACTTGCAGGAAGAGAAGAGGAGCAAACAGTGTCCCAAACGTTGCGAGTCGCTTGCGCCCGACGACGACGGGGAACAGGGGGCCAGAAAAAGGTTCCCACGGACTACCACAAACTACAAGCAGCCATCCCGCTCAGACGAAGAGCGCCCAGCTAAGCACCACCACCACCACCTCCTCCACCACCCAGGCCCGGCCCAGCCCAGGGCAAGCAACAAAGAGGGCCCCCAAGACAGGAAGGGGAAGGGGAGGGGAGAAGAGCCGGCCCAGGGGTACCGCTGGGTTCCCGGCAAGCTGGAAACCGTGCCGGACAAGCACTGACCACGGAAACTTTGGCCCCCATTGCCCACTGCGCTGCACTGGACCACTGGACTGCAACCACCGCAGCTTCGTCGCAGCTTATGGTGGTACTGGGGGCCCGCAACAGCTGCACCGAGACCCTAACATCGTCCCCCTCAATCTTCTGCCCGTCTGCCCATCTTCTTCACACATGTCCTGCTTCCCTTCCCTTCCCCTCCCCCCCTGGGCCACACAGTATTAATGAATTCTGCCTTAACCCTTCGTCGGATGATTTTTAGGCTTAGTTGTTGCTCGTCGGGCCACAAGCCGACTGGAAGGCCCTGTGAAAGGGGTAGCCCTGGACAGGTGTCACGGTCTCCGAGGCTTGTTTCGTTTCGTTGAGGCGGACGACGCAAAGCGGGACCAAGTGGCAGTAGCCCGCTACTCTGCTGCCGCAGGGAAGCTTGCCGGACTATCCAAGAGTGAGTGAGCGTGTTTATTAATGGATTTTTTTTTCTTGGTCTCCCAAATTCTCCTGTGCCGCCGCGTCTGGGCGCTCGTGGCGTTGGGGTGTCCCAAGCTGTGCCGTGTCATGGTATAAGTGTCTCTCTAGTCCTGTCCGTCCCTCTCCTGCGCTCGCAAAGGTGACTTGGCACTTCTTTTCTTTGACATATATCCGCGAACATCGAAAGTCGAAAAGAAGAAAAGTTGAAGATCGGCAAGCTGTCACCTCCTGTCAACCTCCTCTCTGTCTCCCTTCCCCGGCTGGTCCATCCCTCCCCTCCCTCGAGTTTCAAGAATAAGTTCGCTTCTTGAACGCACTCGCCCATCTCGACGGCCACCTGACCAGCTTTTTCATCTGATTACCTCCCCGGCCAAAAAAACATACACATTCAAAATGGGTTACTACTGCTCTAACTACTACGTGAGTCTCTCCCCATTGCGGTCCTTTGTCTTGAGGTCTTAGTCTCACGTGATACCAATACAGGGCTCCATCCACTGCCACAACACTGTCTCCCGATTCGGCGATAGGTGTCATCTCTGCGCAGTATGTTCTCTCACTCACCACTCACTCACAGCTCAAAAAATACTCATCAGCGACCAGGCATCAAAACGCGGCGCCGCCATCAAGGAAGGACTCCTCTCTGAAGCTGAGCGCTGGGGATCGGCTACCCCCCGGTCGACCCATGGCGATCGACGGGTCGAGCGGGCCAGTCGTCCGGCCCGGGACTCGCGGGTGAAGAACTGAAGCCGCCAATCACGGATCACCAATCACCAATCACTCAAACTACGGAACCATTATTTTTTGGGATTTTTCTAACGACGACAAACGCTAAAGAGGGAAACGAATGAACTAGAAAGCGAAGCGGACAGCGAGCAATCGGCGCAGAATGGGATCCCACCGGGGCGATGGCCGCCGCAAAGAAAAAAACGGTTGGGGGCGGGATCTGGCCATCATGCAATACAGCAAAGGCGTTCAAAAAACCAAACACTAAAAACTCACCGGACCCCGCGATGGCGACGATGGTCCATGCATTTTCTTTCACTCGGGAGAGGTTCCGTCCCTCCCACAAGAGATACACAACACAGGCTCGATCATTTTACATGCGCCTATCATGAGGAAAAGAAATCTAGATGACAAACTTACCAATCAAGTAATACTTCCAAATGATCAGACTGTGCTGAGACCCAGGGTGACGGGAACGTGATGATGCGATGATGTCGTTCATCCGTGAGACCCGGGAGGGGCCTCGAGGCAGTGCAACGCCCGAGCCTGAGCTCTGCAGCAGCTCAGCTCTGAAATCGCCGAATACATGCATGTACGCTGCACTCCGTACTCCTGACGTTTGGGAGTTTTCACAAAGCACTTCACCTTGCAGTAGTCACGGAGCGCAGCATCAGCAACATCAATGAGTCGGACATGGCTTCAGGAAGGTGGGTGCAAGCTTGACAGCTCGCAACGGTTGTCTATCAATCTACGAGAGGCAAAACCCTATCAACCGCGTATCTTGTTCCGTGTACCCGATTCGCATGACTTGGGCAATAAATTCCCTCTTCCCCAAATCAAGATAACGCGGGAAGGTGACAAGGGGTGCTCCGCGTCCCGAAACGACGGCAATGTCAAATATTCAACTTATTCCAACTTTTGTGAGGAGAAGAGGGAGAAGCAGACACCGCCTCAATTGCTCCAGCTCATAGCACTCGCATATGCCCGCTGTCCGAATTAAATGCCTCTTCAGAACCAGAAGCCAAGCTGCAGCAAAAGCATGCGGTTCGAATGCGAGCACAGTGGGAACCTTGTGCGACGGGAAACTTGGTTAGCTTGGTTTGGCTGTTGTCTGATCATGGACGCGGCAAGTTCAAACGATGACAGATTAGCTTACCTGAGTGAGGGTTTGTTTCAGAACCTGCGGCAGATCCACGAACGCAACACGTACACGCACCACCCACGCCGCTCACTCAAACCATCCTTCACAATACACATACCTTACCTCACACCCACCCACCCTCTGTCTTTCACAATCTTGCCTCTATCTCTGCCCCGCTTCCCTGCAGGAAGGCAACTTCACGTGATTATCGTGACCTCGAGCTGTCAGAAACTCTCGAGAGCTCGTGTCGACGACAGCGGCCCGTCCTGTCCTTCCCTTAATTCTGCCGAGGTATTCCAACACGACAGGAAAGAGACTTCTCTTCGCTCGTGAAGTTGAGACGATCACGCCATGACCAAGTCTCTTCCCGGGCCAACCTGGGAGCCCGCGCACCACCCACTGCTCCCTCGCAGCACTTGGGATGGTTGATCTAGCCCTGGTGATTTTGGGAAATCTCTACCAGAGGGAGGATGAAGCTTTGGTGGAAGTTGGGGTGAAAAGGAGGCACCGAAGCCTAAGCCTCGAGATGCCGCGAGAATGTGAGAGTTGGTGATACGCTGGAACCGGCATGTTGGGCCATCAGTTCACGCTAGACAAGGGCCACCGAGCGTTCCCGCGCAAGTCGTCGACTCAGCTGCCAAGGCAGGAAGACCTGACAGAGTTCATGAGGTCAGATAAGCGACTCAGGAATCCCGCTTATCACCGTATTCCTCAACAGTATTGCGTGATACTCTGTATCATGAATGAGTCGACACCTCATGCTACCTCACACATTGGTATCACTGCTAATGATGTAGACGACTTGAGTCGAGTATCTAAGCTCGTTCGGATTTACCAGATATGTAACTCTGCTGAGTCGATTTCTTGCATGAGTGGCACCAGCATGTGAAAAAGAGCCTTGCGCTGGGTCGGTCCATCATCTCATCTCTTGTCCCGTTGCAGATATTGGGTCCCGCTACCACCCACGTGGCAAGGTAGACTCTACGACACATGGCGTTTTCGCCCAGCCGACGGGCTATCTGTCATGTTGGCCGCAGCTTGCTTGACGTTGGGCGTCGCAGGGGTCTCCACTGTGTTTCGTTCCGTCGTGATCTAAGAATACCACCATATGATACACTACTTGAACGGAAGAATAGGGCCGAGATATCATCTCAACGGAGATGCTTCATTCACTAGAAGAGCCATAACTCATCTTCCAAATAACCCATGGCCTTCACAGTCGCCTTTGCGTAGCAGGTCGCTGCCCAAACGCAGGCTCATCCGCCTCCCGTTTCACACCGGCAACACTCCCCGAGTCCGACTGGCTGAGCAATGGCTCAAGGAGAATCAGCTCCCGATACCTACCTTCACCAAGCATGTTCTTCAAGAAGTCGCTCCTCAAGGGAGAGAGAAGCGAGGCCATTGATTGAACATGGCGACGCCACTTTTCGACGTCGTCCTTGTACTCTCCGCCAGTCTTTTCAATTACCAGAGTGTGCGGAGATCTGGTACGTTCCGTGGTCATTCGAAAGTACTTCTCGGTGCCGTAGAGAAGGCTATTTATGTGTTTGCGGCGCGCTTCTGCGGCGGCAAATCTCCATACCTTCTGGTCTGGCGCTGTCAGGAAGACCTCCAGCTCGTCGCAGTCGCGACAGACTGTCCGCTGGCCCCGGTAGGGCGCGCACCTTCGCGGCTTGTATGTCCAGCCGACGGGCCTTGGTGGCAAGGGGCCAAGTTGTTGCAGGAGTCCTTCTCCGATGATAACCTGCAGGAGGTTTCTGACTGACTCGTGGTTCTCGACAGGAATATTGTGTCTCTGCATTGTGGTCAACAAAGGAACCAAGAATTTCTCAACGACGTGGGCTTGAACGGTTCTAGGTTGCCACTCTGACTTCGTCCACACCAAGTTCTTGCAGCCTGCCTCGAGAAGTCGAAGAGCTTGCTCTGCGGCGCCGAGGGTGAGGCCCTCGTTGACCCGGTAGGTGAACTCAGTCAAGGGCCCGACGACGGCCGCTGAAAGTGCGGCATAGGGTGTTGAGGTAGGTGTGATGTCTTCGCCAGAAGGCAAGAGCTTTGGAAGTGCGTTCTGAACCATGTACACATAGATGTCTTTGGCGTTCCTGAACTCTCTCTGCCCCCGTTTCACAAAGACCGTGTTCAAGACCTTGTAAATGAGGTCGCGGTTGCCGCGATCCGCCAAGGAGGGGATCAGGCTGGATGAAATATATCAGTAAGATCTGTGATGGGTGAAGGACGAAGCACCTGAAGTCCTACCTTGACATAATCCATTCCTGGTCCTCATGCCGAGATTCTAACGTCTTTGAGAAGAAACTGAGATCGTTGATGCCAAGCTGAGGTTCGGTCTCGAGCTTCAGCGTCAATTTCAAGTTCCCCCATTTGTTGAAGGAATCCCTGACGGCATCCGATTTGAAGCGGGGCGTGAAGTGTTGAATGCTATTCATCACACTCGACAAAGAAGCATTGCTCGTAGTCTCGCCCAACCTAGCGCAAGTACGTTAGCAGGAACTTGAAAACAAGACAGATTAGAGTCGCTCGTCTGAGAATCACCTACCACTTATCCCAGTCAATCGCCTCCGTCTTCTCGCCGTAATTCTCTTCAACATATCGACACGTCACGTTGAGTGCCTCGTTGTAGGTGTCTTGGCCAGCTTTGGCTGCGGCCACCATGGCGAGCTGAAACAACTTGCTGTCATCTAGCTGAAGAGCCCAGTAAACAGCAACGGGAGGCGTCGTCTTTTGAGATGGTCCTTGTATTCCAATTGCATGGGTCAGAAACTTCAACGCTGTTTCCCTGGTGGCTGGGTGTTCGCGATGCTCCTCAAGATCTTTGGTTACGAGAGCGACCATGTTCTCGGTATGAGCATCAGGGCCGTAAGAGCTCCATACGTGGCTATAGCCCCTTAGAAGCTTGTGCAAGGCCGACTTCTTCACAAGCACAGCGACCTATTAGATGATTGAGCCCTCGACGTTCTAGAAAACAAGTGAGAGTGAGTGAGTGAGTGGCTGGGAGCTTACCGTGTCATGGTACCGATAGGTGCTAGGAGCGCCTTCATTGCCAGTGAACTCTCCTTCTTCCTCGCTATCCGGGCTGCGGTCCTCAAACAGCTTTGGAACCATGACCTCGTCATCATCGAGCGTATAGTCCGTCGCGATCTCCTTGCCTTCACCTGTGAAGATGGCGTCTAGGCAGGTGCAATTTTCGGCGTCGTTATCATAGTAGTCATCTTCATCCTCCGTAGTGGTATGGGTTTGGTGTGCAAGTAGTAAGAAAACCCCGCTTTGAGCACCAATGTCTTGTATCGCCTGACACACTGGCTTGTCCCGGCCCTTCAGATTTCGCAGGGAGATACTCGATTTTGAGTATTTGTGATCCAGGGGATAGACAAGCAGATCGTTGTTGGGGTGGTGGATTTGCCATTGTAGCAGTACTTGCTTCACCTCCTGCGCCTGCTGCCCGAAGAAGCCCGCCGACTGCTTAGCAGGCCCGTTCTGAACGATGTTGTAGGTCAGGGCCAGACGATATCCAGACGTCAGCTCCTTCACCTCGTGCGTCACGTCGGAGAACCAAGCAAGAGTGGTAATGTCCAAGGTAGACGTGGGCGCAGTGGAGAAAATGCGTTGATCGGAGCCGAAGGCGAGGTGAACGTCTCCTCCCTGATGCTCTGAGGGAAGGCAAATGACGAGCGTTCCCACCATGCCTGGTTCTTTCTCGGAGTCCTTGTGGCGCTTGAAGAATGATCCTTTCTCATACAACAGCAGCTTGTGTGGCTTCACCGAGACGTCCGTCAACCCCAGTCCACCAGCGGCCGTCAAGTAGACCTTCTGCAAAAAGCCGGCCCATTCTGGGTTGACGAGTTGGAACTGGGTGTGGTTCAGTTCCCACGTCTTCCGCACTGAGTTGTCGACAACGGTGTCTTCACCTTTGCCAAAGGGTGCTTCCCTACATGCTGCCTTGATCACCCCAGCATCGCTGGGTGTTAGTGGAAGAGGGAACGCGGGGTGGCCTTCAATCTTGAGGCCCGGATTGGCGAAGGTGGGGTAACGGGTGAAGTTGGCAATGTCCCCCACGGATTTGATGCCGTTCAAGCGCTTACGCAGACTCCGCTTCCACGTGTCCAAGTCGACTTTGGTGTTGTTTATCTGTTTGGCGGGCGCTTGGTCGTTGGATTCGTAGTCTTCAGAATCCGAGCTGATTGACACAGCTGAAGAGTAGCCCATTGTTGCATAAGAGTTAAAAACGCCTGTCCACGATGCCGACTGATGCGAAAAGGGAATGAGCTCAATGTTCCTTGAAAAGGTATCCCTGAGACGTCGTTGAACCTTGCTGGGCGCGTCGCCGCCACGCGTGTAAACGCGTCTTGGATCTCCACTGCCGATCGCGGGGTGTCAGTACCCCGCGATCCTCCCTGTTACCCCTTTCTCAACCTCGACAAACACGCGAAGGGTTTCAACTTGGGAATGCCTGTCATGGGGAAAGAGAGGAAGACAATTGGAATAGAAGCGTTAAGTTGCAGTTCATTTATTTGGGCCCAACCACCTGGTGATACTTGCGCCACTGAGTGCAACGTGAAGATGGTCTGCTAGTGGAGCACAAGCCCAAATTAAACATTGAAAGCATGAAATGCCTAACCGAACAGCAAAGCCATTTCCTTGCTCGGGAGGCCTTTAGGATTTCAACCTCATCAGTACCATTGCTTCTTCCACTGCCATGTCACAGGCGCATTGGGCCAAGCCAGAACACTGTTCGTGTAAGTCCGATTGCGGCCCAAAAGCAGCCATGCGTCGTCGGGGGACCCAAGTTCCTCATCAATCTGAAGGACGTCTGAATTCGCCAGCGCCGTGTCCTGGTAGATGATTGCAGAGTCATATTTCCCATTCAGAAGGTCCTGCGCAATTTGAACCAGTCCGCCGGAAGTGATTTGGACAACGTCTGGCCACTTGCTGGTGTCGGTGTAGTTGGCGACAGAGGGGTACAAGATGCCGATTGATTGTGGGTCCGTAACATCCTTTCTGGTAACCACCACAAGCGGCTTGCTTGGCGAGATGAATGTGTCGATGATGAAGACATTACGGAAGTCGCTGCCCACGATTGATGAAGCTTGAGGATGCACGGCATTCATCATGACATAGTCGAGGGTGTCGTTCTTCAGCGCAGCGACGGCGTCATAGAAAGAGTCGTAGTACGAAATGTTTGATGTCTCTGAGATTCCGTGGAAGTCAAGGTAGCGTCTCATGACGAGGTCATGATTGGTTCCTTTTGTCAAAGTTCCGAAAGCCAGGTTCTTGAAGCTGGAGGCCGAACAGCTTGCCACACTACCAACCTTGAATGTCAGAATCGTGAGTCTTCAACCTAGAGAAATTTGGCATTCACTTACGTTGAACCGACAAGAAGTAAACTAGCCAGCGCAAAGCGCGTTACCATATGGATATTGCACAACATTTCGAAACTCGCTATGAACGCCGACGACAAGTATCGATGGTTTTTACGAGTCAAAACCTGCTTACAAAAACAGGGTCATTTTAAAAGTCGAATAACCGAAAAACCATCCAATTCAGCAGAGATATGGTTGAACAAGCGAAGATAAGCAGTCTGCGGGGAAACATTTCCCAGCCACTCTGCCATGGTTCAAGGTTGCGTTGGTGATGTGCGCCCCTGTCGCTGAGTCATTTTCAGGCTTCACCCTGTTTTCACGATATTCCGAAAGCGAGGATTAAACACGACAAAGATCTCCATCATCGCCGTTCCGTCCTCGCCATTTGATAGAAGACAATGCGGGGAATCTGGCGGACCCATTATCGGAGCTCCAAACCAGTCAGATAATGTGGCAGAGTAACCAACGGCTCAGTGAAGTGCGGGGGTCATCCGAGATAGTGATATCGTTATCTGTGAGATTCTTTGACATGGATATTTCAACTCATAAAGCTCATGGTCTTAATGAAGACACGACAGGTTCTAAGGGATCCATTGCCAGGATCAGGACACATCTTCAAACCCTTCATGTATTGCCCATGCCTTTTCAACGAATACGCTGGACTATCGAAGAGTGGGGTTCTTTCCCCATCAACGTCATCCCAAAAGCTAGATAGATTTACAACGTGGGAGAGCCGCGAGGGCTTAAGAAGTACTTGCTCCGGGCTGACTAAATGGTGCAGTACGCCTGAGAGTTGTCAGCGTTCCCCATGCACACCATTTGCAATCCGGGCCGCTACAGTGGATCCTGCACGGGAGCCATCTCTGTGTAGATGCCCGGCCGCAGCCAGAGGTCAGATGTAAGAGCAGCTTAGTAGCCCTCTTAATTATTTGGTTGCGAGCCCGCTCGACATTCGAATTCGAGTTCTGAGCCTCTGCCGTCAAGTACATGCACCTCACCGCCACCAAAGTTCAGCTAAATGAGCATTGCATTGGGCCCTTTCGTGGTGCGGGCCACAGATAAGCAGCCTCCATGATGGGTGGTGTCGACGAATAATCGCACCGAATGGTCTCGAGACATACTAAGGCTTCCAGGCAGCGGCAAGGCAAAGTCGAGAAGGCGACCGAGACACTGTTGGTAGGCTGCCAGCTAGAGGCCCTAAGGATCGGGAAGAAATCGCATTGGTCGCCTGTTCAAACAAGGTACCGCGAAGCCAAGTTCTGACACCATAATGCGGCTGCGTAACTCAATTAGTACCAGGGTGTGACGGTGTTCCAAACTGGTCTTACATGCCGCAATCTGCAGGAATGTTACCACCAGGCCGCATACTGTAGCCGGTCAGCCAGTGTAAGATCAGGCGACCAATGATACGCCAGTAAACATCAATGGAAGAAGAAGGTCGGATGGAGATTTTCTTGGCGAGAAAAGAGGATGGTGGTTGTCTTCCCGCTGGAGCTTCGCCCGGTGACCATCGTTTTTCCACATTTATTCAGCGGTCGCATATCCACGGGGCTCGACTTGTGAAATGGAATTTCGCCCAACGCACAATACCCTTTGAGTTAAACATCTAGCGGATGTCTACTATCACATAGTCTCACCACGATGGAGGACTCGAACGTACGATCGGTCCTTTCGATCTACCGAATCAGGCTGGATGTCCTCACATCCTGGCTCGAGCATAACCATGGGAAGCAATGTCAAATTGAGGTAGAGCAGCAGCAATCCTTAAACTTCCATTTAGTAACATCTGGTGTACTAGGTGAAAGGCATAAAAGCTGTGATCTTTGCGCCTGTGGAGCTGCAAAAGGTAGGATTGGTTCACCTTCTTCCTGCCATTAACATCCTTTTACTGACTACAAGATCAAGAGCGACATAGAACATTTGAAGAACTTGAAGGCCTGGAACCCACCGGTCAAGAAGACTTGAAACACGGGGACTTTTGCGAGGAGGCTCTGAATTCCATGTATTTTCGTTTACTAGTTGCCAAGTCAAATTACGAGGGTCACATCCACCTGCTGCTCAATGACGAGCTCATGTTACTCCAAGACAACTGGCGGCTGAGGTGATCCAATATGCACTAGACCCCTGTAACGTTGAGAACCCGCTATACCTGCCACAGGTAGCCTGCATTAACAGGGCAAACCTGTATCTATCCGCCTGCTATGTACAGCCCGCTGTAATAGCTAGTAGTTCTGCCTTATGGCTATGCCTTGCCAGGCTTGGAACCGTGGCCTACCCAGTGGCCAGTCATGCTCCAAAATGCCCAGAGAATCCAAGACTGGGATCTAATTCGCCTATTTGAACCATCGTTCACATTAAATTCGGCGACCCCGCCCTACCATAATCAGGTGTATCTTAGTCTCAATTAATGACTGTGAACCACCTTCAGAGCTCCATTCTTGTCCCTCGGAACATCATGCAGAACCACGACCCACAAGACGAGTTTGCTGAACTCTGTCGTAGATACAAAGAGTATCCAAAATTCCAACTTCACACCCAAAGTCCCCAAGAGGCATGGTATAATGAAACGCAGTGGGACAAGCTTCAAGAGAAAGAGAAGACTGTGTTTTGCGCCACACATGAAAACATCGACGTATGGGAGACGGGAGGTCTCAATAGTAATGAACCCGCAATCAATCTAGTAAACCACGGTAGTACTGATGGATTGTTCAGAATTCCCTGCCCAGGAGACCAGTATCTCCGGTGTCAATGACTTGAAGCAGCACCTTGTTCGGAGCGATAAGGACCCTATTGTCCGTCATTTGTAAGTGATACAAAGGTCTAGACAATGCACGGCGTTTTGCTGAGATTCACATAGGTTTCTGGCGTCACCAGACTCGAGATCGCCTTTAAATTGCTCCGTGGATATGTTTAAATTTGCTTGCGCATACCACGAAGTAGATCCCTACTTTCTTGAATCACTCCATGCCTTCGGGGAGCAGGATGAGCCTATCGATCTTTGTCTCTCCCAATTCAGAGGACAGAACATTCTCAGCGCTGATTCCAATGGGTCCCGGGAACTGAAGAAGCTTGGAAGGTCTGGACGTGAGACCCGAGTTTCGTATCTCTTGAGGTCTGTGGAATTTTCAGAGAATGAAGAGGAAGGACTAAACTGGAAGTTCCGACAAACTGCGAACTATCATTCATTCGACTTGAAGACCGGAAGAGCCCTCTGGATTAACATCAAAGGAAGCGAACTTTTCAAAGAGCGCATCTTGCAGTTTCGACACCTTCTGAACGTCCCGCCCAAGACAGAATTGAACGAAGGTGATGTCTCACACCACCTACAAGCATCACTTGCCACTCATCTCATTTACCTGTCTTGGTGCGACGAGAATTGGCGCCAATTTATCAACGACATAGAAGGAGCCATAAAACGCATTGTTGCGCCAGCCAGGGAAGCACTTGTCGATGATCACGTCGGCGAAGACGGGTTAGAAATCTATCCGAAGCTCATGAGGGAGACCATATCACGGAAATCAACAACGAACTCAAAGAATAGCCCATCAAAAACCAATACTATGGTTTCTGGTACGACCCTGACAAAGTCACCAATGCTCTCTAGGATGATGAGTGCTACAAGCTCAACTCTTAGATCTTGGACTAGGACGCAGACAAATTTACCAACAGACCTGGAAAAGGGGCCACCACAGGAAACATCTGCCGATAACGCTAGCAGCCCGTCTCTCGGACTAGACCCTCGAGGAATGCTGAAAGACATTCGATTCAAACACATGCAGTCTCTTCACCACCATGCAGAGACAATCCAGAAGTCGATGTTGATCTTGGATCTCAACGTTGGTGTCCTCAAAAACATTGGGGAACACTATGACAACCTCGCTGTCACCGAATTCAAGGATATGGATGCTTGCAAGGCTGTGATTAACGAGTTCTTGAGAGAGATTGCTTCCATTTCAAAGATGCTTGAGACGCGTTCGAGACAATTGAAATGTCTGGCAGCCAACCTAGAGCAAGGCATATCTTTGGTGAGTAACCCAATTCGTAGGTATGCTGGAGTCATAGGAGATTGAACGAGGTTTACTGACAGAAGTTGCATAGTACGACAAAGCTTTACAGCAGAGAAGTGACCAGATTAACACCAAACTCGCCGAGTATGCCCAGAAGAACAGCGAGCAAATGCAGATAATATCCGACAAAACCTCACGACAAACAACGTCGATGCATGTCATTACCGTCGCTACTCTTTTCTTCTTGCCAGCCACTTTTGTAGCAGTAAGAGCGAACGTTCCAGCAATATCCAGTTTTATCTGAACCTCTGACGAAATGCCAGACATTCTTTCAGAGCGGTGTATTCCTCTGGAACGAAGAGACGCCAGAGGAAATGCAGGCACCATTCAAGTGGCAAGGTGACAATTTTCGACTGTTTATCAAGATCACCATTCCGCTGACTATCGTAACTATTGGAACATGGCTATTCGTATACTTGAGACTGAGGTGGAGAACAAGCAACCTTTAGAACATGGGGTGATTCTGTGGAGTTACTTTGGCGAAACCACTAACAGGAACGTTTACTATGTTAGAAGCACAACTGTCAAATACATGTAGAAATTAGACTGGAGTTCACCCAGTGGAACTGTTCCCTGAAGACAATGTCTCATTGAGACCTTGCCACACTGTCAATACCCACACGCCGGCAAGAATTCGCTGATGAAGAGGCCATTGTGGCATGTTTTGGGTTCGTATGGTTTCTCACCATGTCAGAAACGATATCAGGAAGTAAGATTCACACGTGCGTCAAGCGTCTGGGCTACCGACTTAGCCGTCATGGTGTGGTAGCCAAGTCCAGCTCGACAAAACCAAGGCAATTGCCAAGTCGGCGTGATGAGCTTATGCATGCGGCAGGCTACGGCACCCACGAATGGGAGGCGCTTTAGGGAACCGGGGTCAAAACCATGCAAAATAATCCCTGAGCTTCCTGAATCTAACTGGTTCTCCCGAATCAAGAATGCAAAATGTCGCGCTGAAGGGGGAGTGGGGGCTACGATGACTGTCCTGCGGTCTGGCAGCCACAATCCTGTTGAAGCCACCGGTCGCCTACATGGTTCGCCATTCTATTCACATTAGTTCCGATGTTTTCAAAATGGAAATAAGGCTGGAGGCAACCTGCACCGTCGTCAGGCTCGCCAGTTAAGTAGGCAGCACGCCCAGGGGACCCCACCAATCTCCGTCACCAGCATTGCACAAGACTTCAACTGCTTACTAGAAACCGACATTACTTTACGATAATTTCTATCGAATATCTATCTCCCCTATTTGCTCATTGGTCGGTGTCACTCCTCTCATATTATGGAACCTGTCGGAGCTGTGAAAGACTTTCAACAACATGTCGCCCAGTACATCAAGGAATACGACTGCTACGGGAACAGTGCAGAGAGGGACCACGTTGAGTTCATGCCACAGATTGAACTTGGCCGATTCTGGACTATCGAGAAAATTGAAGATGTTCTTTGCAGCACGGAGCCTCACATCCTGGATACCGGCCAAGAAATCAGGGAACATTACCTCGTTGTATTCTCTGTCCTGACGTTCATGGCGCGACATCAAGATATATCTGTCTTCATTCGGTATAATGTGGATGACAGCGGGCTGCCACTACTGGCAACACCAACTGCAGCCTCGGAATCCAGCAGCGATCGCGAAGTGTTCGAGCGATTCCAGAAATCCCAGTGGAAATTTTGTCCACTGACACTCAACATGGGTAGAAGTGAGAGAAAACCAAGCAAGAGGGAATTATCTCCTTTTCATATCATACCAGTTTCGAAAACAGAAAGAATTAGTCCGAGGGAGTCTGGTCATCGTGACGATATCTGTCTTGACAAAGTGACGTTGCATGAGCAATGCTCCGCCTACAAGGTTAACAACCCCCAAAAAAATCGCTCCTACGAGAAAGCTTCTAATGCATACTCTGCTAGACTGTTGTATTCAAGATTCTTCGGGGTAGCAGTGACACCCTAAAGGTCATGTACGATAATGAGGTTGACATGTACAAGAACCTTATCAAGGAAGACTCATTCAATCACATCATGAGATACTACGGTTCTTTTCAAAGCTTAGATGTGCGGGTAATTATACTAGAGTATGCCAATGGTGGCACTCTGGAATCCTTTTTCGAACATCAACCTCCTCCGCAAAGCAAGGCGGAGCGCGAGCTGTTTTGGAACTGCTTGATGGGCCTGTCCAGAGGGTTAGAGCGTATTCACAACCTTACTGATTCAAAAGAATATTCGAAAGGAGCCTGGATGCGAAGAGGGTACATATTTATTCGTGCCTGCTCATGTTACATTGATGTACTGATATTACCACACTAGGACCCATCAAGACATACATCCACAAAACATTCTAGTCTGTAATGAGGGCTTCGGAAACATGCATGGATTCGCGTTCAAGTTTGCAGACATGGGAACTGGCCATATCCGAAGGATGAGGTATAAAGGTCTCGACGAAGATGCCATGGATCAAGAAGGCAACGGAATGTACAGTAAGTCATCAAGCTTTCTTGCCATTTGACGAAATACTGAAAAAAGATTATAGGCGCACCCGAGGCCTGCGTGGATAACAAAGGCACAAGAGGCATACGAGGAGACAATGACATCTGGGCATTAGGCTGCGTTGCAAGCGAAGCGCTGGTTTGGTGCCTTCAGGGCGACCGTGGGCGTTGGCGCTATCATAACGACCGCATCAAAGCCACACAACAAACCGTGTTGAAGGATGGATGCCATGTAGGCGCGTTCCACGACGGAACATGCGTCCTGAACACAGTGGAGGATTGGCATCAAAAATCAATCAAAGACGCCGGAGAAGATACTGATTTCTACACCCAGCTGAGCAGTCTCATTCTTGGTCGGATGCTCGTTGCTGAACCAAAGCATCGAATTGATGCTGCCGAGCTCTACAACGAGTGGAACTTGTTGTTTCCAAGTCGGCCCTCGCTTCTTCCCACGAATCACACCGATCCAGGGCCATCTACACACTCTAAGACGGATAGTTTAGAATGTTTAGTGAGCGATTCCGTATCACAAGGCCCCATCAGATCCTTGACAACCCCTGCTATCTCGGCCACGCCACATGAATCAAGAGGGTTGCATATTATCACCACAATCCCCGAAGACAACTTTTTATCACCGTCGCCAAGTCCAGGACACGCTCCTAGTATCTCAATTACGGAATCGCCCCAGGAAGAATTACCGGAAGAACCTCCGCGGTTGACAACATCGTTGAGGGTACGAAGGACGCATGAAGACCGAAGACATAGATCTGTTTCTCCACGGCCGAGCCAAGTGCCCGACGGGAAAGCCACTAGCCATCCAGTTGGAAGCACTGACCGACACTCAATGCCACGAAGGCACACGCTTTCGGACAGCGGCGTTGGTCTAGATTCACGACCTCAGTCAACTACTCAACTACAGACTGACAGTATGAACATGATCTCAAAAACGAATACAGTTGTTGGGATGGAAGGAAGCGGCTCGTCTCACTCGGCGAGACGTCGAGATAGGTCGGCTCAGCAGAGTTTCGCAAACGAAGGTGGTTCCTATAATCAATCTCAATTCGAAAGCAACAGGACGCCAGGAAGCAGAGTCTTAGAGAACACGTATAATTATACACGATCTCCTTCACCATCTGATGGAGGGAGTTCGCAACATACAGTTGCTACTAACCCACAGTCATTAGACCTCATTGCCACGGTCGACCTGGTATGGCACATTTGCCTGGCAGACAAAACAGGTCTCTCCAAATATCTCAACCCGACTCCCAAGAAGCAGCGTGGCAGGCATCCATTCAAAATATTCCCTCAACTAGCAATAGATGTCAACAAAGTCAAGGGGGACAAAGGTCGAGATCAAGTAAGTTTCCAAGGAATGCCGAGAGATAATGAAAGTGCAAGAAGATAACCGGCGACAGATTTTCCTCGTTGATGATTCAGCATCTATGAAGAACCACAAAGAGGCTGTAGGTCGGACTTGTCGGGTTCTTGCGTATGTTTTGAAAGAGGGGGGAGCCGATCCAGACGAAGCATTCGATCTTTACTTCACGTCAGCCCAGCCGAATGTGAGGTCAGGAAAGAGTTCGGACCTTCAGAAAGCTGTTCAAGAATGCAAATTCTCGGATAATACCTGCGACATGCAATCGAGCTTAGACCTGATAGCCACCAAGGTCATCCAAAATCGAAAACAAGTCAGCATTTATGTCTTGACAAACGGCCATTGGAACTTGCAGTCTGAGGAGAAGTTTTGTGGCGTGGATTTCCCCATCCGACGCCTAATCAGATATATCAAGAAAGAGGACAAGCAGAGAAATTGGGTCGGGATACAGTTCATTCGGTTCTTCGACCAACCCTTCTCCAATGAAGACAAACTTGGACAGGAGCGGTTAATTAGACTGGATGAAGAACTGGAGACAGAGGCTGATCGGTATGCTCCCATTCCCGTGTCGATCCCCAGGTTCATTTCAAGGTTCCGGAGGAAAGCTAATCCCACATTTAGGGACATTGTTGACACCACGGACTTTGGCAAAGACGTCCACAAAATGCTAACAGGGGCACTCTCTCGATGGGAAGACGCTGTTGGAGAACGAGAAAAAGACTTGGAAACATGAGGAATGGTTTCTCCCGCATGTATTTGTTTTGCATTTGGACTTGAGCATTTATGACGATCTGGCATCATAGAGGGTCCGAATCGGAAACAATAGAGCAGAAAGTCAACTTGGTAAGTTGATGGTAAACATTGGGATCATTTCGTCCGCAGGAAGCTAAGTCTATCACGTCTATATATGAGTGATGAGACTCTGCTCCGTAAAATCACGTGGTGAACATCTTGTACCCTCAGTTGAACGTAAATCCAAACGGTCGTGTTCTCAGGCCTTGCAAAAAATGGTGACCAGCATGGGAAAAAAGTCATGCGTGAAGGGCATGGTATATGAAAAGGCTGGAAAAGGGTGGTATCGTATCGTGTGCTTGCTCAATATGTAAACAAAGTCAGACTGCAGATGCAAACACTCCTTCTCTCCAAACAGCCTCTATCGGTAAACATCGCCCTGTCTTGTCTGCTAGCACTTTCAAGACATCGCCCTTTATCAAGACTAGGTCGGCCTTCTTTCCAGGCTCAATCTTTCCGCGATCATGAAACTTGAGTCGATCTGCTGTGATAGAGGTTGCTGACTTCAAGACATCGATAGGGGACATGCCAACTTCTTGCACCAATACACGCATCTCTAAGTGCATCCCCAATCCATAGGGCAAGCCAAGACCCTTGCCAGCAGCATCGGTTCCCACAATCAGAGGCACGCCTGCTTTGTATAAAGCCTGTGTTGTCGCATATGCGTTCGCGATGCTCGCCTTGGGCTTCTGTCCCGCAGCTAACCCGAGGGGTTTCGTTGGTTCCTTTTGGATGAGAAATCGTTTTGCGTATGGGTCCTTCATGTACGACATCAGCATTTCCTGTCCCTCGCCCGTCTGAGAGGCACATAGACCAAGTGTGGGGTTGCAATGCGCCTTCTTCTCCAGCATGATTCGGATGTAATCATCTGTCGGCGGCTTGTCGAGGAACATATGACTCAGGCCGTCCGTTCCGGCACGGAGCAGATCCATCGCGCCGGCATAGCTGAAGGCATGTCCAGTGGTGATGACACCATGTTTGTGGGCAGCAGCTACAACAGCTTCTTGGATATCCATAGGAGGCCGGGGGAGATCCATGCCCAGGGTGTCGCCGAGCTCGTGGAACATTTTTATGTACGCTGCGCCGTTCTCTTCAATCTGCTGCTTGACGAATGGCTCCGCATCTTCTGGCTTGCGGAGCATGGGCCAAGTTGAAATGATCTTGTCAACAATGTGATCACCGCATGGCGTGTTGGAGAATTCTTTCCTCATCACAGGGATTGGCCAGCCACCTTCAACGACTGCACCAAGTCCAGCACACTTGAAGTCTGCATATTTTCCCTTTTTTGACGGTTCACTCGCGAGCTGAAATCCAACATGTCAGTCTATGCTAGCCGGAGAAAGCTAGCCGGAGAAACGCATCGGCTAGATGTATTGACGGACCTTCTTCAACTCAGCATTGTCTTTTGGATCATTATGCATGTCGCAGACGGTGGTGACTCCGAAGCGGAGTGACTGCTCAATGCTGTTGACATTTCCGGACAGTGCATGTATATGCGCATCAATCAGCCCGGGTATTATTGAGTGTCCCGGTTTTGATATGACTGTGAATCCCGTTGTAAGCTCTCCATTGAAGTCGCCTTCACCAACGGCTGCGATCTTTCCATCTAGGACGTAGACATAACCTCGCTCAATTATTTTAGTGCCATCAAATATTTTGACATCTTTGACAAGCATGGAGTTAACGATCCCCATGGCTGATTTGGGATTCTGGAAGAAGAGAAAAGATCGTCGCGCATGTATGGTTGAGAAAGGCAGTCCTGGCGGAGCCGACGCGCCTCAAGATTTCGTGGAATCTGGGAACGGCCGACCTGCTCCTTTTTCTCTCATCTTTTGCGCGTACGTCACGGCTTTAATTCACCCTCGCACGCCACATCGGACAGAGCCACCGCCTAGTCGCACGGAAACTAACCTCAATTGATCGACTCACAGGCAGTCCGGCAGATGAGCAACGACGGACAAGTCGTCGGTTCCGCGTGCTAGTGCCGCCCTTTGTCAGCTCCGGCCTCCGTCTGAAACTTAAGCTTTCAATCGTTTTTGGCCACTGCTCTGCATTGATGACGTCTTAGCCTCAGCAAACGGGGACAAGATAGCAGCCGGCGCGTGGTGTCGGCCCAAGCGAGCATGCGGATAACGCAGGCGTGCAAGCCGATCTTGTCTGGGGGACAATAGCGCCGACGTCAGTTGAAGGCGAAGTGAAGGCGAAGTGGGTGGGTTTTACAGGCTCGGAGGTGGTCTGGACCGCCAAAGGCCATGTGGTGTGGAATGACCGGCGATTCAAGGCCGACTTTTGCACTGGGATTTTCGGCCTTTGCGATCGGCCTTCTGTTTTAGCGCTGTTCTGCGGTAGAATTCTATGCGACAATGGGACAAGGGTTGCTTTGTGGTCTCTTGGGTGATGCTCATAGGTCTGTCGGCAGGCATCGTACCGGCGGACACTAGTACTGCGTGTAAGGCTTGAATTGGGATGGCGGCCGCCTGGTTCCTTGCCGCAAAGAGTCGCTCGCATTCAATAAGACAAGGTGATTGATAGCTGTCTCTCCTGTTCTGGTATTATCCTCGTGAGAGCGGTGTGAGTGGTTGGGACATGCCAACATAATAACGTTCGAGAGAAAGCAATCTTGTGATTTCAAGATTGCAATTCGGCTCACGGTGAGCCGCATTTCTTCATTCATCCCGGCTTCATGCCGAAGGAAGCCAACCCGTGGTGCTTACATGCAGACAAATTGGGGTCATGCTTCGCTTGCCCTCCGAAACCCCTCACTGAGGTGGTGGGGGTCATTGCAATGGCTCGTTACCTGCTGTGGGGTCGTTTCTCAACATGAGATTCGCAGGAAATGGTATCATCGGCCAGTCTTCCGATCTGGATCTGCCAAGAAAGGGCGCATTTCGATGGAAATCTTCACCAGCCATCATTCTAGCTCATTGTGATTAAGCTTCACAGCTGCTAATCATGTCACCTCAATCGTCTCGCCTGACCAACTACATCGCCTTCTCTAGGCAAGATGGCTCAACCCCGCAAATTGGCCATCTCGACCATGCTCAGCAAACTATCCAGCCCCTGGCCTATCTCTCGGGCACTCCCGTGGAAAATCTGTACCAAGTCATCGAAGTGGGCTCCCAAAACATCACGGCATCAGTCGACCCTGCTATTCCGTTGAAGGATGTAAAGGTTTTCCCTCCAATTTCAGGTCGCGATGTCCTGGCAGTGGGCAAGAACTACATGGAGCACGCCAAAGAATTCAACAGCTCAGGATACGATAGCTCTGATAAGGTCGATAAGCCCAGCCACCCTGTCATTTTCACCAAGCGCGCGACGTCTATCATTGCCGATGGCGAAGACATCCTGTTGCACAAGGGTTTCACTGAGAGCGCCGACTACGAGGGTGAGATTGGTGTCATTGTCGGAAAAGCTGGGTTTCGCGTTAGTGAGGCGGATGCATGGGACTATGTCTGGGGCTACACCATCATCAATGACTTGACGGCGAGAGAAAGACAGAGAGACCACAAGCAGTTCTATATCGGAAAGTCTCCCGACACGTTTTGTCCTATGGTAAGGAAACCCTGATCGAGTGTGTCTTGATATGTTTAATTGAAATTTGCTAGGGCCCCGTAGCAGTGCCCAAGGAAGACTTACCGAAGACCCTTCACATCCAGACCCATGTCAACGGAGAGCTGCGCCAGGATGCCACTACAGAGGACCTAATCTTTTCGATTCCCCATCTTATTAGCACATTGTCTGCTGGAACGACCTTACAGCCTGGTGATGTCCTCGCCACGGGAACGGTGGGTATACGTCTCTGCGTGCTGTCATACCTGTACTAACATCTAGGCCAGCCTGCAGGTGTTGGTATTGGGCGTAACCCGCCAGTCTTTCTGTCGCCTGGAGATGAAATCGCAATTTCCATTGATGGCGTTGGGACTTTGAGGAACAGGGTGGCAGACTATTCCGCGGCCAACACAACCATCGAGCGATTTTCCGCTCGGTCAGCCCTCAAGCCCAACAACACCGCGAGATCGATTCAAGGCAGATCGGGGTTGACAACGGTCAACTCAAAGCCGATCAACTATCAGCGAACGGGAACCGGAAAACAAAACATCATCTTTGTCCACGGTCTTGGCTCCTCGAAAGAGTATTGGACACCCTTGACCATGACACTGGACCTGAAGGATACCTTCACGGCGCACGTCTTCGATTTTGAAGGCCATGGCCTCAGTCCAACTCACCCGCTCAGCAGCATTACGTTTGAGTCGTTGGTTGCTGATTTGCTTGGTATCTTCGAAGTTGCCGGTGTCTCTGCCCAATCTCCTGCCATTTTGGTCGGCCACTCGATGGGATCCATCATTTCCGCCAAGTTCGCCATCGAACATCCGTCTCTCGTTAAGAAGCTTGTGCTCATGGGGCCGCCGCCATTCCCTCTTCCGGGGATGATAGTCAAAACTCTTTCCACGACGATCTCCAAGGTCAGGAGCGAGGGGATGGACATCATCCTTAGATCTCCCTCGGGGCTTTCGGATCACACGATCAAAACCATTCCTCTCGCTGCTGCGGCGGTACGATTGGGTTTTCTTGGTCAAGATCCCGAAGGGTATGCAAAGGCGACCTCTGCCCTGGCCAATGCCACGGAGGGTTTGGCCCTTGAGAAACTGGCAGTCGAGACACTGGTTATTTCTGGACAATATGAAGCAGTCTCGCCCGAGATCCGAGAGAAGGCGTACGTTGAGAAGATCCACAAGGCTAAGCAAGTTGTGTTGCCTGATGTGGGCCACTGGCATGTATTTGAGGATGTGCAAGGTGTCGTGCATAGTCTCGAAGACTTCTTGGAGTGAGAAATGCAAGGGACGATGATGACGTCGTCAAATTTCTGAAGATTGGCTGATAGCCCACCCCTATGCAGCTTTTTACCGAAGGATGAAACCTTCTGGGACTAACGCGCTCGTCAATGAGACCTTAGGCAGCAGAGTTAGACCGGTCATAACTTTCAGGACATGTCATGCTACACCGGGCGAATAGTGGGTTGCATGATGTGGCATCGCAAATCTTATCGCCTGCCATATTTGGTGGGCGGTGCGGGGTTGTCAACACTGTAAGATGCATATATATCTAGGTAGCACAACACAAGATGCATTCTTAATTTACTTCACTGTCTGAAGTCGTAGCCCGTCAAAATGCGTCTTGTTGGTGGTACGATGGTAGCGAAGGTGTCACTACTTCTTGTCGCCAGTGCGGCTCTGGCTTCCTGCGGCAGTCAGGCCAAGACTGACCTGAACGCTGTCGCAGAGGAATACGACTACATCGTGATCGGCGGAGGAACAAGCGGGCTCGTCGTGGCTAACAGACTGAGCGAGAATCCAGCCAGTGAGTACAATTCAACTAACTTGTACCTAGTATTGTTATTGTTTTGTTGGTTGCTTCGCTAGGGCGAACCTTCTGGCCTGTTTGACGATTTAAGCTTCGGATGCCACTAACACCAGCAAAGAAACTGTCCTGGTCGTCGAGTACGGTGACTTCCCAAACACCATCAACGTTACTGTACCATATTTCACTACATATGATCAGTCGGCTCGCCTTTATAATGTGACTTCGGTTCCACAGGTTCACCTCGGTAACCGAACCTCGCGACTCCGGATTGGCGCTACTGTCGGCGGAGGATCAAGCGTTAATGGAATGGCCTGGGATCGAGGCTCAGTTGCCGACTATGATGCGTGGGAAGCACTGGGAAATCCTGGATGGGGCTGGAACAACATGCTGAAGTACTTTCGCAAGTCATCAACATTTGCTCCTCCCTCCCAGGAGTATGTTGACAAGTATGGTTACGACTGGAACCGAGATGCGTATGGAAATGGCCCCATCCAAGTTGGATTCCCTTCATGGCAGTGGCCTGCGGCTGGTACGTTTCTGGCCCAAATGAATGTCAAAGCATGGAACTATACAAATAGAAACTGACCGACCTGAAAGACCTGCAAGCTCGAGCCTGGGCCGAAGACATCAAAGTCCCAAGGTTAAAGGACGGATCCGATGGCGACAACGTCGGGATTGCTTGGTTACCTCAAAACTCGGGCGGAAAGAACGCCACGCGCTCGACATCTGAAACCGCATACTTTAACCCGGTCAGTGACCGCAGCAACCTTCATCTTCTTGTACGGCATTACGGTGGCGCGATCAAGTTCGAAGGCAATGCGACGGCCGGAGTTGATGTTGCGAGCCGCGATGGAACAAGAATGCGATTTGTGAGATCGCGAAACGTGGTTCTCGCGGCTGGCGCCGTCAACACACCGCGGATTCTCCAACTTTCCGGAATCGGCCCCTCGAAGCTTTTGAAAGGACTCGGCATTAATGTTACTGTTGATTCTCCTGGCGTGGGCGCTAACTTTCAGGACCATCCATCCGTCTTCATGGTTTATGACTGTAAGCCATTTGCCCACTTATGACCAGCTTTGCGTCCCGATTACTGACAATCTGGGTGAAGTTGCCAATGACACATCTGTAAACCCAACATCGATGAACAACGAAACGTTCTACAATCATTCATGGGCTGAATATCTAGCCAACAAGACGGGACCTCACTCGCATGCTTGGGGGAACAAGGTGGTCTTCACATCGTTACGAGATCTTGACTCGAGCAACTATCAGAATATTGCCGACGCTCTCAGCCAGCAAGAACCCTTACAACACTTGCCACAAGTGTACGCTGAGAACCCAGCATTAGTAAAAGGCTTCCAACAACAAAGAGATGCTCTGAAAAAGCAGTTCTTGAACCCAAAAGCGGGGGTGGTAGAGATCACGTTTGGCGGTGCCGAGTCCGTCCCGGTGGCTCTTCAAAAACCGTTGTCGAGAGGTACTATCACTATCAATAGTACGAACCCGGACCCTTCGATCGCCCCTTTAGTCGACTTCAACACCATCTCCAACCCAATTGACAGCCTAATCCTTATCCGAGCCGTAGCGAAGGCCCGCGCGTTCATGTCGAGTCCCAGCGTAAAGTCGCTTGCAGCCGTTGAGATGATGCCCGGTCCAGGCGCCGCGAGCGATGCCGAGATTGAGACTATCATGCGCCAGTCGTGGGTGTCCTCGACTTTTGATCATCCAGCTGGGACGGCAGCCATGATGCCCAAGGAGTGGGGTGGCGTTGTTGATAGCAAGTTGAGGGTGTATGGGGTGAGGGGACTTTGGGTTGTAGACGCAAGTGTCATGCCTATTTTGCCGGCAGCTCACACGCAGGCTACTGTGTACGCAGTAGCCGAGTATGCGGCCGACATCATCAAAGCCAACGGGAATATGACGACTTCTTGAGGGTCAGATTATTCAGGATTCATGCACACATGGCCCAAGCTCCACTAGACGGAACTGGAGCGTGATTGGAAATTCTATGATCTGCAAGTACACTGGCGTTGCATTCTTCCAGAAACAATAAGTGAAGTTACAGCGACATCGGAGTTGTTCCGACGGTATTCGTGCGACCGCGTGCAGTTTGTGTGCTCGAGTAACGATGGCGTACTAGATGCCTTGTGATTGCGTGCGGCGTGCCTTATCAACAACAACGACGCTGTGTCAGCATCGGCGGTCGATAACATCTTGGCCTCTTCAGCATTGCAATTGTCGAAAATGACTTAGACAATTACAGTTATCATCGCAATCGACAGATTCAAATTTCTCCTTGATCGACCGGGCTCTTCACTTGACTACTATTGTTGAATGACACACCGTAACTATAGGTTTTCTACAATGACATCTCCTTTATCACAAGACCCCATCTCTTCTGTTGACCCTCAGAGACTCGAAGATGTCCGCAAAAAGTACGCTGAGGAGGCCAAGAAACGTCTTAGGCCCGAGGGCGCGGCCCAGTTTCTTCCCCTCAACGAAGCCCCGGAGGACCGACTTCATTCACTTCTTGATGATCCTTGGGCAGACCACGCAGCTCTGAACGCAAAACCATCGCCTATTCCCAAGGATAAAGCAATTCGATTTTTCGTCCTCGGTGCAGGCTTTGGAGGCTTGGTCTATGCTGTTCGCCTCATCGAATCTGGCGTTGCCACTGCAGACGAGATCCGACTGGTCGATGCTGCTGGTGGCTTTGGTGGTACCTGGTACTGGCATCGTTATCCTGGACTTCACTGCGATCTAGAGAGCTACTGCTATCTACCTTTGCTGGAGGAGACCGGCTACATCCCATCGAAGAAGTATGCGCCAGCTGCCGAAATTCGTCAGCATGCGGAGCGCATTGCTTCTCGATGGAAGCTAGATGACAAGACTCTTTTCCGGTCCGACGTGCAGAGCCTGGATTGGGATGACGACAAGGAGCTTTGGAACATCAATCTTTCTGAGAGAAGAGGTCCAGGTTCAGACACCATTCAGCACAAAGTTCAAGCGCAATATGTCTACCTGGCTGCCGGCGTTCTCACCAAGCCACAAGTACCTAAGATTCCTGGCCTTTTGTCATTCAAGGGCAACATATTCCACACGTCCAGATGGAACTACGCTATCACGGGTGGATCTCAGGAAGACCAGTCACTCATCAACCTGCGAGACAAGAAAGTCGCAATTGTCGGTACCGCGGCAACGGCCATAGGAGCAGTTCCCGCGCTGGCGAAGTACGCCAAGGAGCTTTATGTCATTCAACGAACGCCGGCCTATGTCAAGCAACGAGGCCAGCAAACGACGGACCCCGACACCTTCAAAGCTACCATCGCAACCAAGAAGGGTTGGCAGTTCGAGCGACAAATCAACTTGAACCGGCACATGACCAACGCTGTGCTGCCCGGTCAGCCCAACCTCGTCAATGATGGCTGGACTGATATGCCCGCTTACTCTGCGGTGATGGGGTCTCCGGCCCATGGAATTGTGAACCCAACACCGGAAGATGAAGAGCGGCGAGCAACTTGGTTCCATGCCTTAGATCTGCCACACATGGAGGCAGTACGGGCTCGCGTCAGCAGCATTGTAAAGGATACAGCAACTGCGGAGAAGTTGAAGCCTTGGTACCCCTCGTGGTGTAAGCGTCCGACGTTCAGCGACGAATATCTGCAATCCTTCAACAAACCGAATGTCCATCTCGTCGACACGGATGGGAAGGGGCCTTCTCACGCCACGGAAACGAGCATCGTAGTTGGAGACAAGGAGTATTCGGTTGACATTATTATTTTCAGCACCGGCTACTCCGTCGCTGGTGGTCGCACGGGAGGCAGCCCGGCTGGAAGGGTTGGTGTCCAAGTCCTGGGACGCAGCGGGATCTCTATGGATGATAAATGGCGACGCAATGGACCTGTCACCCTCCACGGATACGCTACCAATGAATTTCCCAACCTGTTCTTCTCTGGTACAGCGCAAGGGACTATTACAGGGAACAATGTCTTCATGTTGGGACTCATTGCTCGGCATGTCACTTACATGATATCCGGAGCTGAGCGTCGTGTGGGTTCCGGCAAGAGAGCTATCGTGGAAGTGACTAAAGAGGCAGAGGAGCAGCACAGTCAAGAGGTTGCCAAGCGAGCACCCTTCTTCTCCTCTCTTTCTGGATGCACGCCAGGATACTTTAACGGACACGGACAGGCAGCTTCAGAGGATCCTGAGGACAAGAAGAAGCAAGCACGAGGTGTGGTATGGGCTGAAGGCACTGTCTCTTTCTTGGACTATATTGGAAAGTGGAGAGATGAGGGCAAGTTGAGAGGTCTCTCCGTGACAGCAAGACCTAGCATCACTTCGAACGAAGGTGGTAGGTTGTCCAAGCTCTGATATAACTTAAGATGTTGAATACGAAATGTGATGACCAGAAGAAATATGATTCAAGATTGTACGTGAACAAGATGCCTTTAATACACATGCATGTGTCCAACTTGGTGACAGAATTCATCTTCACTTGAACTGAGATTCTCATTGATGAGTCGTGCCACCCAGATACACACTTAATTTGACCAATATAGTGACGTAAACGCTTATTCAACTGATTTATCGAATTCGACTCGAACTATCAATTACTCGTTTTCAATATGTCTGTTCGCCGGTCGGGGTGCACCTAAGTTCTCTCGTAATGTTCTACCCTCATATTCTCCCCTGAAAAGACCGCGCTTCACCAATTCAGGGATGACATGTTCGGAAAACTCCCTCAAACCGTCAATCAGACGTGGCTGGATGACTGCAAAACCATCGGTCGCATCTTGCTCTAGCCATGCCTGAAGGTCATCAGCGATAGACTGCGTGGTGCCAACCAGCGGCCGGTGTCCTAGTCCTATGGAACATCGCTCCGCCGTCTGTCGTATCGTGAGATTGTTGGCCTTCGCAAATGATGCGATTGCCGCGGAGCGACCTTGTGAAAATGTCGCTGACCACGACTCTGGGAATGGAGAGTCAATATCGGTGTCTCCAAATTCAATACCGAGATTCTTGACGGCGACCTCTATGGGCCATAGCGAAGTCACTTCTTGCAACTTCTTCTCCGCCTCTTCTTGTGTTGCTCCCCAAATGACAGCCACGCCAGTGAGAATGACAAGGTGATCTGGATTTCTCCCAGCAGCTTTGGCTGCATCCTTGAGAGCGCGGTATGTCTTCTGCCCATCTGAGATGGAATAGTTGGCGCAGTAAATCAAGTCGGCTGTGGAGCCACCGAAAGCTATCCCTTCAGCAGAAGTTCCAGCCTGCGCGATAACTGGGTGACCCTGAATCGGACGCTCAACCTTCAAGGGCTGGTTGATTCTATACAGTCCATCGTCAATATTGGGCCAATGAACCTTGTTCAGATCGACGTAGATGCCCGTCTCTTTATTTCTCACAAGGGCGTCATCTTCGAAGCTGTCCCAAAGCGTTTGGACGGCAGTCAAAAATGATCTTGCGCGGTTGTACTTCGCAGCACTGTCTTTCGTTTCTTCGGCGGGAACGCCTAGATTCGCAGTACCCGGTCCAGGAGTAGTGACGACGTTCCATCCTGCTCTTCCGTGACTTATATGATCAAGGCTAGCGAGCTGTCTTGCGACGTGAGTCGGCTCATTGTCGCTGACGCTCGCTGTATAGACAAGACCAATGTGCTTCGTTCTTGCTGCGATTGCGGAGAACAAAGTGGCAGGTTCAAAGCCGCTGACACTCCATAAATGCTTCGCGAGATCTCCAGTCGGGAAAGATGCACCATCGGCAAGGAACAAAGTGTCAAACTTGGCGCTCTCTGCAAGCTGTGCGTAAGAGATGTAATATTCGACATCGAGGCTCTCATGCGCGTGTATGTCCGGGTGCCGCCATATTTGTGTTTGAGCTCCGGAGTAGATGAAGGCGGCTAGCCGAAGTCTCTTCTTCTCCGCAGTGGACATGGCTGTATACTGTTGGCCTTGATGAGACGATAGAATTGTGAAGAGATTGGTCAAGTAATGGATGAGTTGATGTTTCTGTTCGGCAATGCTTCTTGTGAATCAGGCTAGTGCAGCTTGAACATCCTGTTTGAAGTCCAAGGTATGGTATCAAACAAGCCAGATACAACTGTCGGCCTTAGCGTCGTCCGTCCGTTAGTAGAAGCACGTCTTGAGAAGCATCGCTGACGTTACTGGCACGCCATCGAATCCCATATGGCACGGCACTGATAAGCATGGGGATCTATCACCAAGAAATGCATGAATGCCCTTCTCATTGGCTATGGGGACTGTCCGACAGTTCTAATAGGACCAACATTGAAGAATGCGCCGAACTGGCGCAAACCACTATGCTTTTCACGCATGTCGGCCTGCGACCGATCTCGGACTGTGTTGGCCTCGAAAGGTTCTGCTGCTATTCCCGCGGGATCTCCCCGACGTATGCAATGGTGTTGATGTTCTTCATGCACGTCTCCTCATCACGTCATAATTGCTGCGAATTCGCAAGATTTCTGGGTGCGCATGTCATATTGTCACGGAGATAGCACTCGGACAATAGCTTTTGAGACCGTAGCTAGGTATCCAAGCTTCCAGCTAATGAACTTTTATGTGTGCTTCATGCGAGCCCGAAAATATCGCTGGAGGTAGGATGATAAGCCAAACATGCTAGCTTCAAGCTTGGCATAAAATGCATGTCCCGAAAGCGCGATCATAGGCCTGCAGCACGAAATTGGCTCCTAGTCAAATTGTATGCTACCAGAATGGCCTTTATTTTAACATAGAACCTGCAATAAGACTGATGTAGAGCCGAGACGGTCTCTCCTTTGGCGAAATTGTGGTGACTACGACGTTCAAAATGGCCAACACGGCAGTCCCCAGAGGCGAGACCAGTGCAGAGAATGATCGCTCCAGTTCCAACCTCGACATGGACCCTTACGCTGATGAAACCATTTTGGAAATTGGAAAGACGGTCCCCATAACACATGCAGATCTTGCCAGTCTCGAAGATGTCTCTCGAGATCTCCGAAAAGACCCGGACGCTCGAGCAGCGTTTCTTGCGACATTCACCGCCGACGAAGAAAAGACCATTATGAACAAAGTCGACAGAAGATTCTTGTAAGCCTTTGTTCTTGGGTGACATGTAGCAGTCAGAATGAATAGGTAGCTCACTGTCAATAGCGTGCTCATAGGCATCATGTTCATGGTCAAGAATATCGACTTCGGAAACATCAGCATCATCAAAACGATGCAGGCTGGTTCGGAGTCCAACATAATAACGGAGCTGAACATGACACCTGATGATTACAATTGGGTTGCTACCATTCAAGGAGTCAGTTCCCAAACCTTGGGCATGAACCCTCGGCTAATATGGATCTAACAGATTCCCTACATCATCTTCGAATTGCCCAGCAACCTCCTCCTCAAGTACATGACGCCTCATGCCTGGGAATCCCGCATATTTCTCACGTGGGGCATAGTCACGGCGTGCTGCGGCGCAGTGAATACCAAGTCACAAATACTAGCTCTGCGGTTTCTGGTAGGCATGTTCGAGGCTGGCATGTTCCCGGGAGTTATCACAACCCTCAGCTATTGGTACCGTACAGATGAAGTTGGCCGCCCCCTGTTATGGTACTTCGCCATCTCCAACCTCTCCAACATTGTGGGAAGTCTTGTTTGCTACGGGGCAAGCTTCATGGATGGGATACAAAACCTGAGCGGCTGGAGGTGGGCCTTCATCCTAGAGGGCGTCGCCACCGTTCTATTTGCAGGCGTCATTTTCTGGGTGCTCCCAGATTTCCCGAAAAGCCCGAGAAGCAATTCGTGGCTCACTCCGCGCGAACAACAGTTTCTCGAAGCTAGACTTCCTCCAAGTGCCCCTGCAACAGCAGACAAGAGCTGGGATACCAGGGAGGCATGGACAGCCTTCAAAGCGCCGACAACTTGGGCGTTCTTACTGGACCAGACGCTCATGAACCTCGCTACATATGCACTGAGTTGGTATCTACCAACGATAATAGCCAGCCTGGGATTCGCCAAGCTGCCAAACAGTTTGCTTCTCAATATTCCACCCGCGGCTGCTGGCATTTTAGCCATGTTGATCTGCGTTCTGATCACCTCTCGTGCATGGGCGCCACGGCCGCTAATGTGTATTTGCACCGTCCTCGGAACAATTGTCTGCTTTATTCTGTTCTTTTCTGTGTCCGGTAAAGCAGGGCTCTACGCTGCGTGTATACTGTCACAATTCTTCTCAAGCTCCTATTATGTGCCGTATTGGTCGTGGCGAACGTCAATAATGGCCGGCTCGACAGGTGCAAGCTTTGCGATCGGTCTGCAGAGCAGTGTTGCGCAGCTTGGTGCGGCGATAGGGCCGCAATTCTTCCAGTCGAAGTGGGCGTACAATCGCTACAGAAACAGCTTCTTCATCGGATTTGCGATCACGTTGGCTGCGTTGGCTACCAACCTTTGGACGTGGTGGCTGACGAGAAGAATAGAACAGAGGGTGGTCGAAGTTCGGAAGGATACTCTGAGGGCAAGGCGGGAAGGAAGAGCTTATGACGGACGAATCGACATCGATATCATGGATAGTAAGAAGATTAAGAACCATGAATGGATTTAGGCCGAACATCCTGTTGTTGAAGTGGGACACATCGACAGGCAAAGAAGAAATGAGGGGATATGTAGCTGGAAATCACCAGTGGAGCTAAGTTAGCTTGGCGATGTGTTGAAATGATGAGCGGGAGATAGCAACTGAACGATATCAATTCTTGACCATCAGTGCGACAATTACCTCACGTGAGCAAAACTATCAATTGGGCTGAACCAAGCATAACAAGTTGAAATGGCGGCTTCTGGGCCCCGGCTAAATTCAGAGGAGGTACCTGAGGATACATTTCAATCGATCAAGCTAAGGCGAGGTTGCCCAATGAGAATGTTGATCCATTCCGTAAAGACTGACCGTGTTTCTGTCCAGAGCACAGTTGTGCGCTTTCCGCCAGCACGATTTCTGGCAATTGATGCATGTGTCAGACAACGCATATGCAGTAGCCGCCGACATCGGTAATTTGCTCTGTCTTTGGTGCATGATCCATACAAGGTCGAAGATGAAGGCCATCCGGTCAATGATCCTGCTTCTGGAAGCGATTATGCCTGAGAAGACTGAGAATATCAGGGAATCGCACCTGTAATCGACCGAGCAAAACCATACCCAGATGCTGATATTGCGGACAGGCTCTCATGTTCTTTACTTGTGCCAATAATCCTGTTGTTTGAAGGTTGCTGTGTCGCCAGATTACCGTCATGTGAATTCAGAAGTGCTTGAGCGTTCTCAATCCACCATGTAGTATTATGACCAAATGTGTGAGAGGTCTACAACGTGGTGATGGAGTACGAATCACCGTGTGTACGGCAAAGCCCGGCACGGAATTCTCCATCAATCTCCCGTAACAGTTGGGGGCGGCTGGTCTGAATCGTGGATCTGACTGAATACCAAGGCTCGGACTTCGATGCTCCGTCGAGGCTTTGCTTCTGACGATGCCAGAGGGTGACGAAACGAGGCATGTGGGCACCCTAGAGCCTGATTTAGTATGCTGGCCTTCGAGTGAGAGAATTAGACTTACGTTGGGCACTGATGCTTGGGTCGGAATCGAACATCTTGATCAACAACACCTCTTCCGGTCGCTGTTCGCCGAGGTAGTACCATCTCTGCCCATCGCGATGGTGTGCATAGAGATTAGAGCCTTTGAACTTTCTCCGGACGTGATCGCATTCAATCAGATCCTCGTCAAGAACTGACGTGGAGTCACAACATGCCAGCGGATAATCTTGGACGGAGTTTCCGATCGGCCGCCATACACTATAGTGATCCATCCCATCAGCATGGCAGGACGTTGGTGGCGCCAAGGACAATAAAGAGGACTTACTTGATAAGCCTCACCCGCCCTTGCAATAGAAATGGTGCATCATCTGGCAAGTGAAGTAGCACCCGGTGAAGAACTCCTGATGCGCTCTGGTCTGGAAGGAGGATGTTAGCTTGCTGGAGACTGAATGATCGCGATCATGAATGCATCGTGGCACTTACCTACATGGACCGTTGGCGAGGGACGTAGCCACGTAGCCAAGTCATTCATGTCCAACTCATTGTCCTCCCTCTCTCGTGGTGCCCCGGCATCGCGCAACTTGGGCGGGTTTATTGCGTCAGTGAAAATTGAGGCCAACAGCGCGAGACTAGAAGCTCACCCTCCAATCAAAGATGAAAACCCTATCGTTAGAATTTCCCACCAATTTCAGGAGATTCTCAACTTCCGGCAAATATTCCTTCTTGATCAAGCTCTGGTCTGCGAAGGACTGTGCATTGAGCCTGCTTGGAGAGGTCTCTACTTGGAATCCATGTGAGTCCAGTGAAAAGTCGTTGACCCGGTGTCGGATATCAACGAATGTTTGCGTTCTCTTCTCGAACTCAAGATTTGTGGAGCGCGCATCCTGGTCACGCTCGTGGATTGGAACGAAGAGTTGGAATGGTTTCTCTCGTTGGTAGAGCGGTAGCCGTTGAAGATAGTCAAGCTCCGCATCGACAGTTCCGCAAGCCATCTTGCAGTAGTGTGATTCAACGATGGAATGAAAACTGGGTAATGGAAGCCAAATGCGTCAAATGGAACACGAGAACTTCAGGACAATTTATCCTATCAGACGAACCCATGTCTTAAAAGGCATGGTGGTGCGCGGATATTTCCTTTGCAGGAAAAAAAAGGTACTTCGCGGTACTTCAATAACACGTGGCTTGCAGCAACATACCGATCGGCCCAGCCTAGGCCCTACCCCTTGAAGCCGAAGGCCGTCAGGCTCCTTCTTATATCTCTACTTTGCACATTCACGGAAGAAAATGTCTGCTGACCTCGGCTAACATTGTAATTCGTTCGAATTGGCTTCTTCACGCTTCTTACGTTTCTCGTGATCATCCACGATGCAAGAACTCCCGGAACAGATCAGCGGCAACTCATCGCAGTCCTCGGCAGCATCCAGCAAAAAGCCCCCGTCTCTGCCAGCTTGGGCTCTCGCTGCCACAGAGAGCTCGAAGCACTTGTCTCAGCCGTGGAAGACTCACTACGGGGCGGAGCCCGACGATCCAAACTTCGCAGCTGAGAGGGATTTAGTTGCCCATTATGACAGGAAAACAAAAGTTTGCTATAGCGAGGGTTCAATGGCTGCATGACACCCGCTGTTTTTGTAAGACATGCCCAATCCTTGACGCCGAGTCTTTGGATCTCCGACTTGATTGAGAACGGTAGCTCACAATGCGCCGCTCCTCCAGACCGCTCGCGTAAAATCCCAGACCTTACATACGTTATGGGTGAACAGTTAGCCTGGGCACTAGAACTGTTTTCCCGCCAGCTGCACAGCTGAAAAAAGATTGCTCATCTACGTTTACATGATTTACGACCTTGGCGTCGTTGTCAGTTGTTGGTTGGATTCGCCCCAGTTTGAGCCACATAGCAGAGCATTCTCCTTCAGGGCTCTCTTGCAGGGATCGCCATGGGTAGAGGAGTGTTGTTGATCACAATGAACCCATTCCAAAAGGTCATATCAATCAGGAGTGACTGATATCGGTCAATGGATGCCATAAATGCTATAAGCGGGAACACAGAATTAACTGGACTTTTTCTGATATGCCGCTGGAACTCAATGTATGTCGACTGGTGAAGGTGAAAATAGGTAATAGACGTCGACGCACTAGATAGACATAGTAGAACGGGCTCTTATTCAACAAGCTCAACTAACGAGAGGCGTTCTGAAGTAGCGCAACAGGTAGAGCGTGCGACGAAGAATCTGGCTATAAACACCTTACAGAAGAAAAGGAGACAGACACAACAAGCGAAATTCTTGAGGAAACAATCCATCCTCCCAGAATCCAGAGATCTGACTGCATTCATCCCACCCGTTGCAGTCAGCACGCAGTATGCTATGATGTCTGCTCTTGGCGTTGAAGATGGGTCTGTAACTGCTTGAGAAGCGACGTCCCTGTGTAGCGCCCGAGCAGCGTGGGTTGAAGATCATCAAATATCATAAGCTCATCGCCTGAATCTTGCACACATTGTTCCGCAAAACGTTTGTTCTGTTCCAGCACCTCTCTTGACGTAGCTCTCAGAGCCTTCGCCTCTTTGTGCTCAACTCCCCGTATCTCGTAAAGCGTTGCGAGGTGGTATTCTGCTCTGGCGAGACCTACGATCGACCATCTCGAATCTCTCGCACATTCGACGCATTGTTCCATGTAAGTACTAAAATGTTGAAGGATGAAGTTAGCTTTCTGAAAACTTCCAAGTTACAGAATGCGTATGTGATATAGCACTTACATGGCGTCATCCACTTTGTCCAAGTGATGATACATTGACGCAACCGCATAAAGACTGAGGATGAAGTTGGCGTCGTGTTTGCCATCGATCTCCAACCTAGCCTTAAGAATCTCAAGGTGGTACTCGAGCGCGGTTTGAAGCTCGCCCTTCTGGAGATAGATACTTGCCAGTAGGAACAATCGGCGGTACCATTGAGCCTTTTTCCCGGAGAACCGCTCAGTAAGATCGAGACACTTACGCACTGACCCAATGGCCTCTTCCATCTTTCCCTGGAACATAAGTACAATGCTGTAGTTGCCATAATACTTCGAATTCTCAAATGGATTTTCATCCTCTCGTCCCCAGACTTGGTAGCGTTCAAAACATTTCACCATTTCATCACCAGCCTCGTCAAACCTATGATAGTTCAAGAGGCAAAGAGCGTAGTCTGAATTGGCATTCATGCGCAGCACATCGGTGTCGTGATCCTCAGGGTTCTGCTCGTAGATGACCTTGCGGATGCGGCGGGCTTCCAACAGACGGTCGGTGCCTCTGAGGCGATCTTCACAACTCAACTCGAGCAACAAAAGGCCGAGAATGCAGTTGATATCGGCACGTAGTTTTGAGTCACGATCGAAGTTGATCTCGTCGAGCAGACTGATCGCTGTCTCCAGAAGTTCAAGTCCGTCGTAGAGCGTGCCGCGTCTCGACCAGATGTGAAATCCAGCGTCGTAGAAGAGCTCAGCTACCTCGAGGGACTTCACAGCTGAGAGACGCTGTATTCGCTTCCGCTCCTTCGCAAAGACCTGATGGCAGCTGTCGATGTGGGGCATGTACTCCTGACAAACTGTCCAGTTTGTCGGATTTGGAACCTGCTGGGGGTTTGCCCGGGGAAACCGTTTACGTATGAGACGGAATGTCATACGGAATGCGTCAGCGATGCTATAGTCATCCATGTCGCCCATGATCTTCTGCTTCAGTAGTCGATGAATTGTGTATTCAGTTTCTGCGCCAGGTGCCTCTTTGATAGTGATAAGCCTTCGACTCTTCAGCTTGGTGATCATTCGATTGTAGCTGAAAGTATAAGGATCAGTACATTGCTTTCATCATTCAAGTTTCTTATAGTAGAACTAACCTCAGTGATTCGGAAGCATGCAGCAAATCAAGATAGTCCTCCTCGTGGTCGTCAACGAGCAGGCTCTTTGGTATTCGGTCAGGGTTCAAAAAGGCGAGAATGTTGAGTAACTTTCGACTGTTACTTGGAACCTCACGAATGCCTATATCCCACAGCGAGTCGACGGTGTCGATGTACGCGCTGGCCATGCTCGTGGTGTTTGGCTTCCTGCTTCTCAACTCTTTCTCTTCCCACATTTCAAGAAAATCGCTCAGAGTGCAACGAGACTCTTTGACATATCCGACGACCATACTGATTGCTAAGGGGAGACCTCCCAGTATGTTGACAGTCTTCGCTGCAAGAGCATAATCTTCGTCGTTTTCGAGATCCTCTTTGCGCATGCGTGGATAGATTGACGTGAGAAGGAACTCGCGTCCGTGCTCGGTTGACAAGGGTCCTAACTGAAACCGGCGTTGATGAAGCCATGTTGGAGCGGATTGGAGAGGATTTTCTCGAGTAGTGATAAGCACAGAGCCTCGACTAGACGTCAAGGCCTTCGCGACGTAAGGGCTGATATCGGTCCAAGCAACGACGTTGTCAAATATCAACAACCAGTCTTTGTCCAAAGCTGATAGGGTCTCCCTCACGCGGAAAATGAGATTATCATCGTCTTGAGAGCTGTCGCGGCCGGGGTTGAGAGCATCGGCTATCGAAGCATACTTATCTGCAAGTAGTCCCGGGGACTCAGCCTCGACCCAAAAGACATAGGAGTACTCGACGCCCAGGCGATAAGCATACTCCACCGCCGTAGCAGTTTTTCCAATACCTGACACACCGGTAAGAACGCATACTCGGCTTTGTGAAGATAATGAATCATGGATGCGACTGAGATCCTCGTCTCTGCCTGCGAAGTTCTCATACTGTGCGGGCAAATTGTGCTTGACGGTATTGGTCCTGGCTGTTTCCCGTTGACGATCCAGAAATTTGTTGATTTTCCAATTTCCGCCTGTGCTTCTGGGCACTTGCCCCCGGTCTTCATCGTCGGTTACGGAGTCGGCGACTTGGATCAAGTGGTTGGCGTCGATAGAATCTACACCTTCCGCAATCGAAAGGGGTTGAATCTCAAGGTTATAGCCCTTGCCTTCCAAAGCCTGATCTGAGACAAACTCCATGATCATCATTTCACGATTCTCCTTGTCTTCTGCGTAAGTATCGACCGAAGGCTTGTACTCATGGGCAACCGCAATTGCGAAGGCCTCCATGTGGTTCCCAAGATGGGTTTCGAGTTCGTCGAGGTTTCTGCAAATTCCGCGGCAAAAAGCACATTCCAAAGAGCTATAGATGTTGTGTGAAAACCGTTGACAGGCACGTATTAGTGTGTCAAGCTTCTGTGGTAGGGGTAAGTTGACGTGGGTTGACTGCAAGTGATTCTGGAACGCGCTTGCATCGCCAAATTCCGTTCTGCAGAACCCACACTTCCAAAGTGACACACTGCGGTGAAAGTCTAGTTCGTGACGAAACCATTCCTGCCGTGACGCAAACGAGACGCCTGAGGCATGACACCCCCCGAATGTGCAGATGTAAGGCTTCACGTCCTGGTAGAAGTGTGTTTCCCAATCACTATGGCTCATGCCAACCCCAACGGCGAGTGGTAGTGCGCAATGGCAATAAGGGCAATCGAAATGATCAGCACCAAGCTTCTCGAGGTCAACCGGGGGGCTTGGTACGGTTGAACGACGTATTGGCTGAGACTGCGACGACCATTCGAATGACGTGACGGAGTTGCCCGCCACTCTTGCGGTTCGCGACATTACTGTATCGACATGTGAGCGTACCGTGGAAGTTGCTTTATCGGACTCGGTGTCATTCGCATTATGAATCGTCGGTGTCTTCCGGTGTGAAGGCCAAACCTCACGACGCACCAAGGCTCGTGAAGTGGAAGCCGCATTGCTGGGGTCTATCGTGATCGCTGGGATATCGCGTGCGCTCGGAAGCGTACGTCTAGCAAGCCACTGGGCTTGAACCAAGCGCTCCAGGAGACTTGGATCGGCACGCGGGAATAGCTCTTGAGCTTCTTCCCTATAAGAATCAAGTGAACAGTATTCGAAACTGTAAAGTGTTGCGTCTGAGGGCACCGATTCCTCGAAAGGATTTCGAAGAGTAGGTAGGAGATGCACCAGACTTTCGATGATGTCAAGGGCCTCTTGAAGCCTTGGGCCAAGACCAAAATTCGAATCAGCCTCGGGGTCATCTTGAAACGCCTCAACAGGCAATACTGCGGTGTTGAAGCCGTCTGGTAATCTAGACGAGACAGGTTCGGATGTTTGTTCGGGTTTCGGCCCCTCGAGCGGCTCGGCCACGATCACTTTCACGTCGTTAGAAGGTCTGTCGGAAGAAATAGAGGTATTTGACGATTTCTATGCCTTGACTTACCCCGAATGATTTCAAGCGTTTGACGTAGCTCACGCAGAAGATTGATTACTTGCTTGCGGAGCGATGGTGAGCTTTTCAAAGCATAATCAAGATTCCGGGAGGACGCGCCGCTGTCATCGTCCCAGATGTTTAATCTCCGCCAACACCTATCGACGAGATGATGGATTCGAGTATTTTGAAGAGCATCTGATACCTGCGCAAACAACTGCTGGCAGTCTTCAAATTTGGCGGCTATGGGGCCTCTTGATCTGAAGGTGCGGGCCACATGTTTTCTTTGGGCCTTGATCTCTGTGACCGTTGTCGTAGGCATGTTCAGCACGTATCTGGACGGTAAACAATAAGAAGTGCAACAAGGACTTGAATGGACAAAGAATTTCGCAGTTTCCAAGTTCTAAACAGGGAGAAATCTTCGCGGCTGTCAGATGGTCCCGAAAGATGTACTTGGTTTGATAACTGAGGAAATCCTCGCTTGTCGATGAGCCGGCCACGACCCCCGCGTCGCCCCCCAAACCTCATGTGAGTGTTCGGAGAGCAAGGCGAGTGAATGGGAGGGTGTGGCACAGGTCACCAGACCAGTCTTGGCGTTGGCGACCAATGAATTTATTGTGATAACTTGATAAGCATGCTGCAGGCAGTAAGCAGAGCCATTGACAAGGCGAAAGTGCAGTTTTGCCCCGCACATCGGTTGGATGACAAGCTCTTGGTATGTATGGTACTTTTCCCACACCGAGTCATCCTGTCTTCTCTACACTTGGTCCATCCCATTCACCCCAAAGCTTTCTCAGTGAGATACGGTGGTGGTCTCAGAAAATGAATAGTCCTTGGGCCATCTGCTTCTCCTTTTTACCCCGAAATATCCCACGTCTAATGACGGATGCGATCTTGCGACTTCACTTCTCAATTTGTTTCTCTGCCGGCCCGTCAACATGTCATGCCAGAACGCCATCGGCGGGGTATGGGAGATATTTCCCGGTGTCACCGAGGCTGTCGATAACTATAAGATCGCAGAGCCTGATCGTGAATCGAGCGGATTGAAGCGGGGTGTCGCCACCGAAAGAACTGTATTCCATCAGACTTCAGAAAGATTACAACGGCTATTGTCTTCATCTACATCCCATGACGAGAGTATCCAGATACAACAACCAGAGACAAGGCTCGATGTAAACATTGCATCGAAAATCCTGGACGACTTGGAAATTCTGACCAGGCAGCTCCATACGCTTAAGGTTGATCTTGTTAATGCCGGTAGAGGAAAGGTATGAGTCTTTTCTGTGAACTGCTTCGATGAATGCAGTCGAAACAAATCTTCTCTTCATTCACTTACCGATATATAGGAGGTATTAGACAAGATCCGTGGAAAGTTCTTGGACTTTGGAACAGGGCAAAATGCGAATGCCAGAACACGGCTTCAAATGCAGCTGGAAGATGTTTCCGACACAAATCGGATCCTAGCCTCCCGAACATTGTACGGGCAGACTTTACTGTCCCAAGCATGTCATGCACCATATGCGACTCATTTCTGCCAGTGCCTCAACAACGCATCACGGCGGGCAACAACCACCTTCAACCTGCTCAATGACAAATACAAATGTCGCTGTCATGATCCCCATATCATCTATGTTCGCTGTCCTGCCTTCACCACAAACCCTGCTCTCGAGCAATTGAATACGGCAGACAACGCAAAGCCACTTAAGGTCATCATGCAACCCAAGGAAGGTGGCTCCATAGAAGACAAGGCCTGCTCATTCAAAGCCCTACTAGTAGAGCAGGAAGCAAGGCCAATTCTACCCTTACAAGGGTGGATGCGTTTACAGCGTGCTGATCTCGACTGGAAACGGCGGATAGAGCTGGCCTTACAGCTCAGTTTTGCTGTGATCCAGCTATCGCTCACCCCTTGGATTGACGACTCTTGGAACTGGGACAACTGGGCAATTGCGACTGACACGATTTCGCATCGTTCAGGGCGACCCTTACTTTTCCGCCGACGTTTTGGATCCTCCATTACAACCAAGGGGGCACAGTCATCGACATCATCGGTCTGGTCCATCCTTTCTCCTGAGCCCATCCTTGCAAAACTCGGCCTTTGCCTTATTGAACTTGCGTTCGGGAAGACGGTCTCCGAAATACGCTGTGAAGATGCAGGCGATGATGAAATAGTGGACAACAATGAAGTCGACTCTGAGTCTTTGGATTTGATCACAGCTAAAGCGCTGTTTGACTCTCAGAGAATCCGCAACCAGTTTGGAGAGCCTTTCGAGAATGCTGTCAAGGCCTGCATTCACCAGCAGTTCAGAGCGGAAAAGAATGGCGATATAATTGAACTTGACTCTCGAGATCCATCATTCTTGCAGAATGCTGTGGATTCAATTATTTCGCCTCTTCAGTTACAGGCAGAAACCTACCTCCGGTACGTATAGATATTGTTAGCTCAGATGCGGACTCACTAACATGTTACTAGGGCTGAGTTGCGTGACAGTGTCTCTGCCAAGAACGCGCCGAACAAGACTGACCCCTCACCAACTCGCGAAAACACTACACAGCCGGTTCATCATCGAGATGTTGTTGAGCCGTCGAAGGCGAGTACTCTACAGCATGACAAGAATGAGTCTCTCGCGGTAGAACCGGGATCTAGCGACACACAGGGGTCCCTTTCAAGGGTGGGCCTTAACCGCGACCGCAAAGCAGACGCCGGGGCGCGTCGTGGACTTCAGACCACAGACCTAGTAGCTCATGCTCAAAAGACCGACGTCTCACACTCAGCTGCTACAAAAACGCATCCCGAGACGAGAGATGTATTGAACCCCATGCCCCCGCAGCCTCGGGGCCGGGGACAGAACCTCCCAATCGGATCCGCTGGCGAGCGAAGTCATTTACGTCTTCCGTCACCGGGTGGCCAATCCATAGAAGAATCGGAGTGGACTTATGGCTCAGTGACAGAAACGACAGAGTCTGCACGCGCATGGGCTGCAGAGGTCCTAGACGAGCCTCCAGGGGTGACACACAATCCAGTTCTCTCCAGCATTGCGCCTGTGGTCTTGCGCATCATCCTACGGCACTTTCGTGCTTGGACGGAGAGGAGTCCTGGGCCAGGCAATGGGACCGCGGCATCATCCGTCCCGCTCAGTGGCGGCCGGCAAAACAAACGACCTCGAAAACAGCCTGGTCGAGGGAGCCTTCCTGATGACAACGGTGACGACGACGATGACGAGGCTGAGCAGAACGGAGACCGTAAGCGAAAGAAAAACAACGAGGATGATGCGGACAACAAGACCCTGGCCTGTCCGTACTTCAAGAAGGACCGTCGGGTGTACGGAAGTTGCTGTGGTAGGAAGCTAAGCAGAATCCGTGACGTCAAACAGCACCTGAAAAGACGGCATTACCTACCGATATACTGCCCAGTCTGCAACGAAGTCTTCGCTCGTGAGACAGTTAGAGATGAACATACTATCCAGAGGAACTGCGAGAGGGGAACAAGGCCGAAGCCCGAGGGGGTCAGTGTAGCGCAACAACAAGAGCTCAACAGACGAGCAAACAGACAGCATTCAGAAGATGAACAGTGGCACGCAATCTTCAAAACCCTTTTCCCCGACGCCCCCCGGCCATCCTCAGCATACATCGACCCAAGCCTCTCCGACAGCGCCTTAGCGTACCAAGAGTATGTGACAGCCCGCGGACCCGAGATCCTGCGACGAACTCTGGTGGAAAGCGGTGCTGTTGTCGCGTGGAATGAAACCAACGTTGACGATGTTGACAATTTTCTCCGCCATATCTTGGGACGGGGCCTAGGGGCTATCGCGAAGGCTTGGGCCGAGGAAACAATACCGGTGGCTGCAGCAGTGACACCCAGCGAAGGCGAGTCACTGGAGATGGTCAATACCGGGGATATGGCCAGCGCATCTTCCGCCTTTCACAGCAGCAGTATTTCGTCGGCGTCAATGGCAGACTACTCGGACTATGCTCGCAGTTATCCGGACGCGATTCCTTGGTCAGGGCAGCAAGCTCCCCAATACAATCAGATCCCCGATTTGACTTATATGGACTTGTTGGACGAAGAAGATGTTGATGAGATGCAGCGGATCCTGTTTCCAGCCGACATGACTGATGTTGCGGCTTGGCAGAATTATACACACGGCCGGCCAACGGGAGGATAGACATGGGTGGTTTGTGTAAGGCAAAGCTTTCCTTGGTTATGTCGGTCAAGTATTCGCGGCTTGGGCACCAATTTTGGGAGGAAATCGTGTCGCAAGGCTTTCGAGTTACTGTTCATGGGTCGGCGATTTGCTTGGCACATCCAAACATTAGCTTTTTGTATTCTGTTTCTTAGCAACTGCACTCGCATATATCATTTTCATTATCATGGCTCCTTATAGCTATCCCTCGTTCGTTCAGGGGTGAGAGTCGTGTGAGAAGCCCATGTCGCTGCGTTCCTGCACATGTGCTTATTAGGCTAATTCTCATATTTGAAGGTTGTTGAGACATAAGTTTTGATAATCTACACCCTTCATCTCCCTACTGCTGACAACATCAGGGGAAAGCCACCGGTGCTGACGCTGCTAGGCTCCTGACCATCGCATCCATCCTTCTTTGCATTTACCATTACAAATTCAACTTCTTTGACAGCGAAAAACTGCTTGAAGTCGACGCGGCATCTACCCTTAGCCACACCATCAAGCTTGACAGTATCGACATAGGCTCGGGCGCCTGAAGGTATGTTGCGTGCCAGACTCGCCGGGTCGAACCCTGTGACCTTCACATTGACCGTTCCCATCAGTTCATTCTGCACTTTATACCCTGGCATAAAGGGCGAAAGCACCAGCATCTCCCCGGAAGCAGGCACTGGATAGAAGCCCAGTAGATACCATGTCAGAAGACTGGCCATAGCCGCGTTGTCATCATTTCCAGGCAAGCCACCACGGGTCAGATTGAAATTGTCGTACACGATCCGTCGAACCTGTTGGACTGACTCGGCAGGTTTTCCAATATGATGAAACAACGATGGTGTCTGGAAGCTTGGTTCGTTGCCGGGGAGGTAGTACCCCGCGTCGAAGAAGTGGTGTAAGCGATCTTCGAAAGTCTTGTTGCCCCCCAAAAGATCAACAAGCCCCTTGACATCGTGAGGGGCGTAAAAGCTGTATTCCCAGCTGGAACTTTCATAGATACCGAACGTATTGGTAGCTTGCGTGCTGCAGGGACGCGTTGAGTTGCTATCACGCGGGGAACAGTCGGTAGGATTCGAGGGAGCAAAGGTGCCGTTCTCAAACCTTCGGGCCACGAAGTTGGAAAAGCCGTCCGACTGGAGATTGGGGTTGAAGTTGTTGCGATATGACAGACTACGCTTGAAGTACGGATCTGAAACTGAGTCAGGCTGCTTTAGCGCCCGTGCTGCCATACCAACGGCAAAGTCGCCAAACGCGTACTCGAGCCCACGACTTGCTTCTCGTGATCTTTGACCCACAGAGGTGGTGTCTAAGTAGTCGTAAGCAATGTAGCCAATTTTGTTGTAGGTCTCTATGCGACGGCCCTCATAGTCCCAGTTTGGTGGCGCTTCATCGACGTCATGCTTCAGCGCCTTCCAGAAGTCGTCCATCTTGAGTCCCAATTTGTCGGCTTGGTCCGCGTATTTGACGATAAAGTCCGCCACAATGGGAACGCCGTTGTTGCCTCCCTGAACATATCCTTTTACGTTGTTGGCTCTGCATTCGGGCAACCATCCTTCCTTGCGATATCCGTCGATGTAGGTATCAACGATTTGGGCCATCTCTCTCGGAGAGGTCAGCGCCATCAGGGGAAATAGAGTTCGGTACGTGTCCCAGGAACAGTACAGCCCATCGAAATAAGGATGGGACGAATCAGTATATGGAGGCGGCGCGTTGCCGGTCGCATTGTTAGGCGAGAGGAATGTCCGGTAAAAGGAGGTGTAGAACAACATTCTGATGGGATCTGTTGTGTCGTCGGACAAGACGATGCGGCCCAGCTTGTCTTCCCACATTGCGTTACTTGCTGCTACTACCTTATTGAAGTCGGTGTCTGGTAGTTCTCGCTTCATATTCTTGCATGCAACGTCTGTTGAAGTATAAGAAACACCGCGACGGACAATGATGGAACCCTTCTGGTCCGACGAAGGCTTGAAGCGGACGATAGCGCCGGCCTGTGTTGGCTGTTCGAAGTCCGGTCGGCCGAGACGTTGGGCTATAGGAGGTAGAACCCACCGATCCAAGTTGGCACGGATGGCATCCATACCATTCGCATTGCCTCCGAAGAACGCATGGTCTGTGATCGTACCAGCAACGGACAGGTCAACACATTGGAAGGCAGTAGACGTGAACTGGCTGGGACCGAAGCTGCTTCGATACGTTCCATTCATTATCAAGCGCTGTGCTTTCCAATCGGCATGCATCTCTCCATACAAGAAAGAGTGCTGAGAATCGTCGGTCCAGTCCAGAACCAGTGTTGGTACTGACCCCTCTGGAAAGGTGTACCTCTCGAGAGACGCCACCTGAGTTGATGCGAGCTCGATCCGCACCCCATTGGCAAGCGGGGTGCTGAAATATCCAGGGAATCCCGTATCATTGTTACCGTCGCCCACTCTCCTCTGAGATCGTGGCTGCTCGAGTCTCGGGCAATCCAGAAATTCCTTGCAAACAACGGGCATGATGCAAAAGTTGCCATAGCTGCCCGCGGAGCTACCAGTACCGGAATCGTGCAACGGCGATACGCCTCGTGTCAGTTCAGTCGAGACAGACACATATCCCGCTGGAGCATAGCCGGCTACTTGTACGGTGACCTTTGCCATTCCGAAAGGCGTGGCTGCGCCGGCAAACACGTTGCCAGGGTCGTCGTTCTGTGCCGTTCCCGTGAAGATGTTGACATGTTGTGTCAAGGGGCCCGGGGTGAGGTCTGCGGCTGAGACCCCAGAGAGTGCCACTGCTGCGATGACTTGAGAGGACCAAAACATGATTATGTGTGAGTTGAGAACTAAACAGTGTGGGCTGTTGGGTGTTCGGATGGGTCACGATTGCTCATGTTGCTTCCATCTAATTAGAAGTGGGATGGAAAGAACTAGAGATTTCCAATCACTTAGTAGACAGGTGACACGGACATTTCGGGCGATTACGAAGACGCGCAATTGCCGACATGATCAACATGGAAAGGATGACTTGAATTGCAACCTTGAATTTAGCTTAGCGAAACCGCGCTCTAGTTTGAACTTTGATTCCTGACCCCTCTCCCCCTCCTCGATCACCCAATTCGTCGAGAGTGAGATGAACCGTTGTCTTCTTTGCCGCGCTTGGGAATTACCGGTAATTGAACGGCCCTTGCGGCGGGATGGGGTCACGAGATATCGCAATATCTATGTTGTCTTCACTGCCATCCACTTAACGTCTCAATGATCCAGATCCTTGTAGCCCTTACTGACTCTGTTCAACAATGCGTGGTTTTCCTTTTCTCGGCAAGCTCGGCCTCTGTAGAAAATCTCAAAAATTGCGCACAATAAAACCATCGATACATGTAGAGTCCTTCATGTCGGTCCCCACCAATGAGCTAATTACAGGGACAATGACTCAATGACGGCTATAGCGTAAAGTATCTAGAGATGGGTGGTCAGAAATCACTGGAAGAAGGCCTGGTTTGTCATTCGATACTTACTGCCGCCACGAAGTAGGGCAATCCAACTCCTCTGGGAAACCTGGACTGAAGACCCAGGTCAAATAGGCCAGCGAATGCAAAGGTACCCGATAACCCGGCGAGTAGCTCGATCAGTGCAGCCCCGGCGAAGAGCTCTCCTGTTGACGAAGGGTTTGCGAAGGAAGCCAATGTGCCTTGGAGAGCCTGGCCGATTCCGTATCCTGTAGATTCAAATACCGAACCTGAGCGAAGAGACACTTTAGAAATCTGTACTACATTACGATGATGGGAGGAATTAGGACTGACCCACGACTAGAGTCGCCGCATTTATGCTGAGACCGACAAGTACCGCTCCCAACGCTAGCATCGCCAGGCTCAAGATGACCACTCGCCTGTTCAGGAGCAAGGTTGCGGCTTCGCCCCGGCGACTGGCAGCTGTCGACATACCGGCGAGTAAAATCAGTAGCACGAGAGAGATGAAGCTCTTGACTGATATGACATATCCAGCGTTGGCGATGGGCCAGTGTAATACCTTGGATGCGTATTGAACGAACAGGCTCGAGCATTCTCTCGCAAATTTAGATATAAAGATGATCGACAGTGTGACCTTTGCTCCCTTGGGAAGGCCCCTGAGACCTTGCCCAGCTTTCTTGACATTGTTGGCCCCTCTTCTCAGAAGCATGTGTAGAAATGGTTTGTTCTGTCATCAAGTCAGCGTTTATTAAACAGGGAGTCGTGGGGCAAACGCCAATCATGTACCGTATCCGAGCTGTCCACAGACAAATCGTCGGTTCCATCACCAGAACTATGCTTGGGATCATGAGTTTCAGGCAGAACGCCAACTAGCACCAACGACGCGAGAAGTATAGGCATGGCGACTTTGAAGGCTAACCACAAGTCCTTCAGCAGCAACTGAGAACCAATGGGGACCATCACAGTTTCGGTAATGAGCAAACCCGCCCCAGTGACATAGAAAAGCGTTGGCCGCATACTAGGCGGAACAGTATCCACGACGATTGAGCTTAGACTGGCGACCAAGACGCGATTGCCGCCACCGATGATGCGGAAAATTGGTGTCAGAAGGACCATGTTTGTCGAGAAAGTACGGTGGAAGTACACTGTAGCTACTTAGTTGACTGGTTCTGGCATCTGTGAGGATGCAATCATGCTCACGAATCCCGATAGTTGCGAACATCTCCAGGATCTGACCGAATAATGAAAGAAAGACCACAAGCTTGCGGCCAACTCTGTCCGAGAGATATCCGTATGGAAAGGTAAGAAGAATGCCTGAAATTACCCTCGATTGTTAAAGTCTGTTCTGAAAATCTGGGGCTCAGGCACATCGGGCCGCATTCTTTACCTGGGATAGTCATGATGAGTCCTTTCGTGGCCCGAAGATACGCCATTCTCGTCTGGATCCCTCTCAACTTGCAAAGGCTCTCATCCACGTAAGACCAGGGAGGCTCCCCGATGACCGTTGGGTCGTGCTCCACGTAGTAGTCTCTACAGACTGCCATTTCGAAAGCGCGTACTTCGGGGACACCCAGGAGCGAGGCCCCAGCATCCGCCAGGAAGCATATGGCGAAAGCGATCAGTATTGCACTCGGGTATCGTGGGTGTTTCGCTGCATCTTCCCCACTTGCCGATAACAGAGGAGTCTCCGGTGAAGTCTCCGCTTCAATCGGGTCCGCATTTTCGAGCAGAGGGGATGTCTCCCGCGCCATCTCGCAATCTTGTCGAGAGCCGTAAAGGGCTGTGTGTTGACCTGTGGAAGGAAAGCAAGCTTAAAGAGACTCAGAAATGCTTCACAAAATCAACCAAAATTCGCATGCAGTTCACAAGACTTTGAGATTGAGGTCGTTTTACGTCCGCGATTTTGAGTCGTCGGAGTCGCGAAAGTGTTTTTGGTGGGCGGCAAAGCAATGACCGCATACGTTGCCTGCCCACGTCACTTTAGCCAAGAAGGAAGGTGGATTTCGCTGTGCCGCAGCCGCAGCGTTGGAATGGAACTGATCGACAAGCGTATATGTACGGGATAAAGTTCCGTTGACAATGAGCCAGTCGCTATCCCTTCGGCGCACAGCCCTTGTCATAGATGATAACGAACTATTTTCCGGTGTCACGAATGCGAAATCTGTGGTGGAGTTGCTGTCTTTTCAATGCTCGTGGCTGGTAGAAGACTGGAATGACGGAACAATGACCCGCCGCTGTGATAAGGGAAAACGAAAGGGTGTGTGTTGGCAGGAAAAAGAAACGCCTGCAATCCAGGGATGATTATCTGTGTTGGTGGCGCAAATGCCACCTTCACTGGGCTTATGCTAAGCGAAATGAGCTTTCTTCGCCAGTGTCGAAAGAGACAACCCGTGGACGAGTCTAGACGAAGTGAAGCCTGAACATAGCTACGCAACTAAATTCCAGCGCGGCCATGAGTGCCGTTGAAGGAGATGACACCTTGATAAGCCACACATGAAGCGCTTTCCTAAAACGGATCGCCGCTGACAGCAAGCCTACGAACTCAAATCAACAACCCCTCCTTCGCTGGCACCTTGGTAAGACATGCCACTTTCGCGTCTTCAGCAACCAATCAGAGCCTTTTCAATCAAAACCAGCCGCCTGGTGCGTCTAACTTTCAGTAGACATCAGCCCGCTCGGCCCGCCGCGTCTTCCCCGTACTTCCCGATCGTGGGGGAGACGACGTTCATGATAAGCACCCGCGTCCGCATCCACCGTCCGTCCACAGCATAGAGGTCCAGGATTGCTGTTTGTGCTCATTCGTTTATGCGTTTTCACGATGCCGCGCATCATTGCGGATGGCAGCCATGTCTGGGCAGCGGTCTTTGCGGTCGTCATCACGGGATTCCTCTACTTCCTCACAAAGCTGTATGCAGCACGGGAGAAGATATGGAAGATGCAGAGAGCAGACCTGGTACGATATCATCAAATTCCTACTTTCCGAACAATGTCTAAATTACGATACAGCCAATGCCTAAGTTTTCGTTCCTAGCGGGCCACTTTCTGGTGCTCGGCAAAGTCATGCGACTGCTGCCGTCTGACTCCATCATCCACAACATCATGTGGTACATCTCAAAAGACTATCCGAAGGGCATCTTTTACATCAGTCTCTGGCCATTCAGCGGAACTGTCATGGTCATATCCGATGCCGATGCCGCGGCTCAGCTCGAAAGCCTGCCCCTCGCCAAGGGCGCTGACATCATCAACCCCCTCGAGCAAATCACCGGCGGCCGAAGTCTGTTGACGATGGATGGGGATGAGTGGAAGCGATGGCGGCGGTTGTTTAACCCAGGCTTCAGCCCAGGGTACATGATGGGCCTAGCTCCCGCCATCGCAGACGAGGTTGCCGTGTTTCGGCAGAAACTGTTTGATCGATGCTCCGAGGGCTTGAGCGAGGTTTTCCAGCTAGAGGACTTAACTCTGAGGATGACATTTGATGTCATTGGCTCTGTAGTATTGTGAGTATACTCGTCATGATTGAGACTCAGCTCACTCACCTATCGGTCCAGGGACTCCCGCCTACGCCATCAACTGATAGACCACCCACTGGCCACATCTCTGCGCAAGCAAATCATGTGGACTTCCTTCACAGAACCTTTGCATCCGTTGACCAAGCTGTTTACGATACGACCGTTTGTGTTGTGGTACAACGGCAAGCAGGTTGATCGATACATCCATGCCGAGTTGGATGACCATCTTTCGAAGCGCTCGGCCCAGTCTCAGACTGGTTCGACGAGGTCAAAGTCTATAGCGTCGCTGTTTATAGATGAGTATCTCAAGGATGTCGGCGAGAAGAACATCAACAGCACAAACGAGACTCTCAAAAACATCATCACTCCGCAAGTGCGTCTCTTCCTTCTTGCTGGACACGACACCACTAGCAGCACCCTTCTGTACTCCTACTACCTCCTCGCCAAAAATCCAGAAGTCCTGTCACGAGTAATAGCCGAGCACAACGAGGTTTTTGGTTCCAAGCCATCACAGTCCAAGGACAAGATCCAGGCAGATCCTCAACTCCTTAATAAACTTCCATACACCATGGCCTTCATCAAAGAGGTACTGCGGATACTACCGCCAGCAGGTGCCCTGCGACAGGGACGCCCCGACCTGAACATTGTTGACGAAGACGGTAAAATTCATCCGACCGAAGGCTGCAACGTCTGGACTCTTCCGCTCGCTATCCATCACAACCCAAAGTACTGGAAAGACCCCGAACTCTGTATCCCCGAACGTTGGCTCGTTGGGCCTGAAGATCCTTTGCATCCCCCCAAAGCAGCCTGGCGGCCGTTCGAATGGGGGCCGCGAAACTGCATCGGGCAGACGCTGGCGTTACTCGAGTTGCGGGTGGCGTTGGTAATGACTGTGCGGGAGTTCAGCATCACGCCTGCTTATGGTGAGTGGGATCAGATGCATTCTAAGCGTGGAGTGAGGACTATCAATGGCGACAGGATGTACCAAGCCGTCAAGGGGGGAGGCGGTGGGCATCCCGCTGATGAGTTTCCTGTCAGAGTTGAGCTGCGAAAGCGATAGACAGATACAGCCATTTAGAAAATCAAATCCAAGCCTTCATCGCCTTTAAGGGTTGGAAGTTTGGGCCAAAGACTCTGTCTTATGAAGGAGTTTGAGTCGCTGGCGCGAGATGGCCCGGATCCATGGTGACATGAAGGCAAGACATACAGTTCTCTCTGATCTATAAAAGAGATCCTGAAGTTTGATGTGGGAATGTGCCAGTACTCGGACAAATTTAGAATGATTGACGGACTTTTGGGTTTATCTGTGCGTCCGAGTCGTAAAACCGAAATTCAAACTCAATGGAAGAAACCCACGAGCATCAGGAGAACTCGACCTCTGGTGCGGAAGAAACCCACCTTTCGGATATAAGCCATCTCCAGCCCAGACACAAACGTACGTGTTCCTCAATCAACGACACTTTCGATCCCACCATGCGGAAGCCGTACCGGCTTGATCTGATAGCATCAAATCGGACTTATGTTCGGGATCGGCCGTAAGCTGACAAGGCAAAATAAGCAACTGGTAGCAGTCGATTGCGAGCACACGAATGGCGCGTGCCGTTTGTGTTGATAGCGAGTTTGCGTGAGACAGGGGTCGCACCGCGACGTTCATACCCACCAGCCAAGCGGTCAAGCTCCATCAATCGCAACATCTGGGGTCTTTCAGTGGCCACAACGGGGCCGAGCCGAGCATGATGGAACAGGCGTTGCACGGCCTGATTAAATGCGCAGTGGAGAAGCCTCTGTGTCTTGCGTGTCCAGGGCTGGAGTTGCATTCGGGGCCCTTGAATTTTCCGCAGAAGACGATCTTGTTTCCTAATTCCTACGATCTTCGCAATGCGGACGGCATCGTGTCCGCTCATTTACTACCTTGATTAAGTGAACATCCTTGTTGACATCTGACGGTAGCGTATCATCTTCATATAAGAACTTTGGTTTTTTCAGGTGTTCTTGCCCTTTTTGAGTTGCTCCTTCTCATCATCATTAGCGCCTTTCCTTGCCATAGCGGTCAACATCAGAATCCTTCTTTCATATCACACCAAATCAACTAGCAATCACAAAACAACATCAACACCATGGCGACCCAAGACAAGAAGCGCCAAGTCATCATTGTCGGCGGTGGCATCACCGGCCTCGCACTTTCCCTGATGCTCCAACATAGCGGAGTTGACTACATCCTGCTCGAGGCATACGACTCCGTCACTCCCAATGTCGGCGCCAGCATCGGCCTGTTTCCCAATGGCCTGCGCATTCTCGACCAGCTCGGTCTCTTCGAGGATATCCTCGCCAAAGCGCAACCAGTGAACTCCATGATCGTCAGAGACATGACCACCGGCAAGCGCATCATGACGAGGAAGACGCGACAGCTCATCACCGAGCGCCACGGCTACCCGAGCATGTTCATGGAGCGCTACGAGCTGCTTTGCGTCATGTACAAGCACATCAAGGAGAAGAACCGCTTCTTCGTCAACAAGAAGGTCAAGCGTGTTGAGACCCGAGAGAATGGGGCCACGGTGTACACGGAAGACGGCTCCGTGTTCCAGGGTCAGATCGTCGTCGGCGCAGACGGCGTGCGCAGCACCATCCGCCGGGAAATGTGGAGAAACGCCGACGCCTCGAACGATTCCGCCGCTATCCCGGCGCGCGACAGGCAGGACATCCCGTGCGAGCATGCCTGCATCTTTGGCACTGCCAAGCCTACCGAGGGCATCGACGCCGGAGAGGTCATGGGTGCGAGCGGCCACGGAACAGTCGCAGGCTGTATGGGAGGTCCTGGGGCTGAGGTCTTCGTGTTCTGGTTCTGGAAGCTGCCTGACGGGCAGCGCAAGTGTCCCATCAACGACATCCCTCGATTCGACGACGAGGACAAGGTCCGCGAGTTTGCGCGAGGCGCGGATAGCACAGTCGCCGACAACGGGTTAAAGTTCGGCCAGGTCCAGAAGAACTTGCTCTACAGCGGCGTCACCGCTCTGCCGCACTTCGTGATGCGAAGATGGCACTACGGCCGCATCGTCATCCTCGGCGATGCCGCGCACAAGTTCAACCCCCTGGTCGGCCAAGGTGGCAACAGCTGCATCGAGTCCTGCGCCGCGCTTGTCAACCAACTTCAGGAGCAGAACCTGTTGGGTCCCCAGAGCAGCAACTCGGCCTCGTGGCCTCTGGCAAGCCTGAGCAAGGCCTTTGTCGCCCTCGAGAAGCAGCGCGTCGACCGCCTTGTCGATATGGTTGAGAGCTGCCAGGACGCCATGCGCAGCTCCGCTTGGGAGTCGTGGAAGCTGAGAATGCTGCACAAGTACATGCTGCCTCTGATGCCGCTGGACAAGTACGTCGACTACTACAGCCGGCAGATCTCTGGCGGCCTCCGCCTGCTGAGCATCGATCCGCCCAAGGCCGCTCACAACTGGCCGTATTCTGACGAGAAGACACCCGAAGAGAAGTCGCTCAGTATCAACAAGGCCGGTGTTGTGGCTACGATTCCTGTCGCGGCTCTCACTGCGTTCATCTTGGCGAAGGTGCTGCGCAGCGAGAACGGGCTCGGTGGATCGATGTTGATGTCCCGGGTTTTTGAGAAGGTGGCGAGCTTCAGGCAGTAAGCTTTTTGAGAACACATGTCGAGCGTTTTTCAGACCGTTAGAATGGTCAAGCAAGTTTTCATACCCTGATTAGATGGTGGGGTTTTCGGTTTCCTTTCAAGCTTTCCATCAGAACATAGAGAAGCACATTCAAGTTCATTCCTAGAAACAATAGATCCATATATAGGAGTTTCTCAAATGAGCAAACTTGAACCAGATTACGGCAAAGCCATCGTAGTATTAGTTACGGATCAGCACAGAAGTGGCCATCGGCGCATCTGCCTGCAAACATCGACCCATGTCGGTGATCCTCTCACGCCTCCAGCCGCATCCCGCTGCCTCCAGACCTCTTTCAATACATCCTTAGAAACACCGTAGCCCTTCCATCCAGACTTCCCATTCGCTCTACTAAGCCAAGCCTCGAAATTCTTGCGGTGCTCAGCCCCTGTCGCTTCTGCCCCGGCGATGAAAGCCGGCCAAGCAGTTCCGGGTCCGACCAATCCATGCTTTTGCAAAGCCTCATCAAACCTGTGCAGGGAGTCCATCACCTGATTCACGCTGTCTTGGAGCATCATCGGATGAATGTTCCGGATCCGTCGATAGAAGAAAATCACTAGGGCCGCGCTGAGAGCGCGTGCCATGTGGATGTGAGGCCGGCTTTGATTGGACTCTGTCTGAGCTGCAGATTGATACCGAGCTTTGAAGGAGCACACAGCTTCCTCAAGATATGCTGCCTTGGGCTGCAGCGATGCCAAGGTCTCCGCATCTGATTTACCCTGAGACGGTGACAGCCTATCCATGACATTGGCCAGCCGGGTGACCTGCGACACAAGCCGAAGCCAGGTTTCTGGAACGCCGTATATCCGCATGTGCATGTCCTCACGACAGTTGAGTGAGCTGACTAGGTGTATGTCTCGGGTATCGTCATGTCGACGACCGCGGCTGTCTGAATCGGACTGTAACTGAAACTGCTCCAAGTGTAGGAAGCTATCCAGAGTGCTATCGGGATTGATATTGTGTAAAGAGCCTGCTTGTCGAGACCTCGATGTTCCCGAATCGTTGTCGTCCGGTGTGTTCAGTCCCGTACTGGCCAGTTTCAGCGGCTTGAGTGTGATCTGGCTTTCGTCGTGGAGCACCTTCGTACTCTCAGAGACAATCCTCATCCAAGCATAGATGTTGTGAAACAGGCGGGCCCGGCGGGAGAGCTTTGGCTTGGTTAAGCCTCTGACTCGGATCAATCGTTCCATCTCCACGAGATATTTGTGCGACTCGGCCTCATTGCCGGACAATAACTGGAAGGACATTCTACTGTCAATCAAAAATCCATGAGCACGTGCTTGCTTGACGAATACTTACGGCGCTCGCTAGTACTGCTCCTACGGCCATGAGCTGCTCCTTATACTTGGCCTTACTGGGAGAATTTCGACCGATTTCGCTCTCAAGACTGATTTTCAGGTGTATCTTGGCGGCCTCATATGTCCGGTCCGAAAGGAAGTGCCAGTAGTCCCCAGGTCTGATTAACGCCGGAAAGGCACCGGGATTGAGGGACAGATGGAACGCTGACACGGCGAGTAGGCCATAAAGATTTGCCAGACTCGCGTGCCTGATTTCCTTTTTATCCACGCCAAACATGGTAATGTGGCTCAGAGTGAGAATGGCGGAGGGTACGTTGAGAATTCTCCAACCGGACTTTTCGTTGATCGGTAGCGAACCCATCTGGTTGATGACCTCTTCATTGAAGTGTTTGAGCAGCGCTGGAGCGTCGACGACCCAGTCTACCTCGGGCCAAGCCATGCCTTCCAGATCCGCGTCAGTTCCATCAGGAACGGCATTCCCGCTGTGACCATGAAGATCTCCGGTGTTTCCAGTACTCCACACTCCCGATGGGTGGTCAGCCAATTCATGGCTTTCAATACTGCTCATGGGCAAAGGGCCTGACTCAAGTCCTACCACTTCGGTGTCCCACGTGAACAGGTCTCCCCATTGCAAGAAGTCCAGTGATGTCGAGAAGAGCTCGTCCAACGCATTAGACATGCCAGCGCTATCGTCCACCGAGTCTGCATTGTTGACCGAGGCAACGTCGCCTGTATCCATTTGGGGTTCCGTCTCATCACAGTAAGTGGGCATAGAAGAAGACATGGTAGTAATGGGGGACACAAATGAAGCTTCTGCGATTGATGCTGATCTGCATGTGGTTGCCGTCGGGGATGTCATTGCTGTGTTTTCGACACTGGGAGCGCCCTCTTGAACTGACGAGAACGAGAACACCCCAAAAGGTCCCACAGCAACTTCCTCGGCGTGTGATTCCGTATTCCTTGCTTTCTCGTCGATTTTATTGAGTGCCGACGTAATTGTCGACGGCATATCGGCCACCATGGCGGAGCTCATCGACTTCCTTGACGATTCTAAGAATTTGTCATTTGGCAGTCCCCTCAGTCCATCAAGATGAGTCATGACTCACCACTGAATAGGTGTCGTCTTGAGAATTGTCCATTGTTCTCATCTGCGTTCTGGGCAGATGCACTGCCTGCGTCTGGTCCCGTACTGACAAACCACCGCAGAGCCGGCCTAAAGTCACAGGAAAGTCCAGCCAGCTTACATCTTTTACACCTCGGCAATGTCTGATCGCACTTCAAATGACGCCTCCTGCACGTCTTGCAACCCTCGAAAGTGTGCGAGTTCTTGGTTTTGGGACCTTTCATGTTTGCGTCGGATGGAATATCGTAGAATATGGAGAATGAGCAAAACAGGAAGGGTTCGGGATCTCTATCCTAAGCGGGCAGAGGTCTGTTTTAGACAAGTTGCGTATTTTCGGCCACGACAGCTTGGTCCCTGACAAGGTTGAAGCTGATAAGGCAAGCCAATCGAGGACCGAATTATTTACCCCGCATCGCATGGGGAAATGCATGATATGGTTATCTGACAGTTATCGCCCCGTTGTGAGTCAAGCTGGGAAGGCCTCCGCGACGAGCATGACGATGGATCCACTTTCGTTTTTAGACGTCGAATTAGATGTTGCTCATATGTCACTCAATCTGGGACTTGATGGCGAGCACGCTGACACACTCATGGTCATGTGAATGTCATGGGAGAGGATACGTGAACATGATAAATTCAACTGCGGGTGCAATGGTCCAGCCACCAGGCGAAGAGGGAACCAATCCGACTCGCAACTTGCATGCCACATCGAAATCTCATCCAGTCACGTTCACCAACCAAAGCCAGGGATATTTCTAGAACCTGCAAAAAACAAAACTCAAACGCTCATACTTTATTTGAAGGGCCAAGACTGCCCTTGAGACTAAGCCTGTCCCACCAGTCGAGTTCTCTCGCTATTTCATCGCCAATACTTGTATCGACTGGCGACAGTGAAAGCTCGGTTCCGGTTGATCGAGTAGTTCCAGTGATCTCTTCGAAGTGTTGTTTCCTGTAGTAAATCGATCGTCTCAGCGGAGCCGCCTCACTAGTTCCCTTCCTGGAGATCTTCGTACTTATGGTTTTCAGAAGTGGTCGCAGAGCAGGGAGGCTCGCGCACAGGATAGCACAAAACACCTCAATCAGAGACCAGATGACCACGTCAACATTATCCCAAGTGACGTCGTAGGTCGCCGAGAATTTGATGAGAAACTTTAGTCTCACCATGCTTGTTATGCAAGCACTGCGGACCGTGTTAGTAAAAGAAACTAGCCATATTGAAGGGATGAAAAGATGAAGACTCACAATGATCCTAAGCTGAAGATGAGACCCAGTCCAACTTTCTTCTTCGTGCTGAGTTGCAGTTTGAGCAATTCGGGCACTGGGAGCAAGAGGATTCCAAAATCTTCAACAATACTGAAGGCTGCTCCGCTGTACACAATCGCCGTGATGTCCTTGCAGGTGCGGTCGGGGTTGCTGAGGTCCCAGATCGATGAGATCGGTGTGCACTCGAATATGATGAGAAACATGTAGATGACTCCGTGCAGAACCAAGAACAGAATGAACCATCGGATCGTGTTGTGGAACCAGCGAGATGATGAGAACAGTCGATCGAATAGCAGCAGGATGGATATCTTGGCGAAAAGCTGGACAAGGATGTAAAGTTGCTGCCCGGCGTAAAATAGCTGAATGAGCGTGACGCTGTTCGAAGGCTGCACGTTCCAGTAGTGTAGTCCGAAACCCAGCTCAGTGCCTGCGATCTGTACACCAGCCATCACGGCCAGCAGGAGCGTGGCAATAATGACCATGTAGTCATCCCACCACATTTTTCGTGTGACGAGCCATCTGGCAAGGCAGCGCAATGCGACGATCGGGAATGTGATGACGGAAAGGGCGATGGCAACATCTTTCGCTTCCTTGCTTCTTGATGGCTTCGGATACGCAACGCAGAGGTCAGTCTGCAGCTGTGCGGCACCTGGTCATGGTCAACCTTCATGCCATCCTTCGGTTGTTCATTGAATACCTACGAGTCTGGTCGGTGAAGAAGCAACTCTGTTGGACACAAGTAGAAAGAGATGCCTGGAGATCGATGTTCGGGCAAAGACAGTCGGTAAGGATGGGGACTGAAGTCAATTTGCAGCCCCCCTTGATAAGTCCATCCGTAACGCAACTCAGCTTTTCCCATGAACCGCAGTCAGCACGCGGATACCGCCAACATCAGAAGCATTCCAGACTTACCGCGCAGTTTGGTACTTGGGAAATTAAGCTGGTGATGCTTGTCGTCTCAGACGAAGAGGTCAAATGTACCAAAGACAAAAGCAGAAGCACCAAGAGGTCATACTGACGGTTTCTGGCGTTGGTGAACATTTCTTGAAACGCACAAGAAAAGCCGCTGACCACCAGATGGCGAGGGCATCGGGAGAAGCAGAAGGAAGAGAACAAATGAGCAGCAGCAAGCTTCCACAGCAGAACGAAGGATCATCTGTTTGGTGGCACTGCCATCCCATTTAAGAAAACAACATTACGAAAGCGAGATGGGAACGGACGTCCACATGGTTGTTGGCGTATGTCCAAAACGCGCGGCGCGTTTACATGGAGATCTGCGCGGTGCCACCAGCCCAGTTCGACACTGGGGGCGGTTGAACACCCGAGCTGTATCCAGAAGAGGCGGTTGAATGCGAAAGGAGATTGTGTCACGGACTGGGAGCCAGTGAAGCGGAAAGGAGTCCACCTGTCACAGTCCTCTTGCTGGCGCGGTCAACGGTGGGCAGGTTGTCTCGGAGAGATAGGGGCGATCCTGCCTTCGAACTGCCGCGGAGTACTGAACATCATCAACTTTCTGCATATGAAGACCAGACCTGTAGTCATAGTGACCTCCATTTAGACACGAGATATCCGTCAATCGGGCCGTTGAACTGCATCCCACCGGGCTTTGTTTTCTTGTCGTGACATCGTCCATATTTCGACGTGTAGACTGTAGCCATGTTTGGTTTCATGATCCCAAATGCCGACTCAAATGGGGCGATACAATCGCACGTGGTTGATGATTCCTAGGAGTATGTTTCTGCATTGGCTCTGCAACGAGGCTGACAATAGTCTTGCTTAGCATCAACGCCGGCGATTTTAGCGCGTCACTGCTGACGGATGGCGACATGCTAAGATGTCTAGCATACCAAGTGAGGGGATCTCGGATGTCCTCATTGGTCATAGCTCTCTACACGTCGAATCATGAACGTATTTCGCCAAAAAAGCGCGAACTCGTTGGGGCTGTCTAGAAAGGGAAAGGGGTTGAAGTTGGGCTGTCAGTGCGCACGACACGGTCGAAGCTCAGGGGCTCGGGGCGCTGAGGCGGGCAATCAACTTCCGCCTCTGTGACGACTTGGACGCGGTGTTCCCAACAGTCCGGAGTGAAATGCGAGCGGCTCGGAATCCTGCACGGCAAGACAAATTGACAGAGGTGCAATTTCGAGGTATATATGGATGTGCGTCTTGTCACATCGGCCTTGTTGATAGTAAACGGAGTAGTCCGGCTGCTCGGCGACCCTTTGAGATCCCGCGGAGCCCGAGACACCTAAGAAGGCCTTCAACGATATCGAAGACTCCAAATCACATATAAAATTCAGTGATTGCCCCGAAATTCTGCCCGCGACCCCGCGATATCATCTCGAACTTGTCGCGACCTCGGTCCTCAGTCAGAACCGTGCTTGACCCCTTGCAGTAATTCAGGGGAGGCAGGCGATCCCGAGGAGCACAGGACAAGCCCCACAACCCAAAGACTGGACCAAGACACCGGTGCATGCATGTCATCCCATGTTTTGGTCAATTCTCCGTGCTGAAAATGTATACAATCTTGGATTGGCTTGCTACAGTCTCATTCTAGATTTCAATTGCATTCAAACTCCCCAGGCGGAAAATGGAAAAGAGAAAAGGAAAATCACAACGCCCAAAGTATGCAAGCAACATTCCGACTTAACCGAACAGCTTAGTGATTCTGCGATTGTTCCACTCCCAAGCAGTAACATCTTCGTATCGACAAGGCGTCGCATCAGTGATGAACTCCTTCAACGGTAGCAGCGACGCGTGGCGGTTAGGCTTGACAAAGTAGGCGATTGAGTATCGCTCCGGAATCTCGACGTTGTCTCCGGCCTTAATGGCAGGCGGGTAAGTGACTCTGTGGCAGGCCGCGCGGAAAGTGTCGTTGGTAAGGCGCTGAAGCGAATCGCCAATGTTGAGGATGATATCTGTAGGCTTCTCTGACTCGACACTGCGGAAGACACCGGGCTGAGTCTGGTCCTCGACTTGAAGACCGCCAACAGAGTCTTGGAAGAGCATGGTGATGGTGCCGAAGTCGGTGTGCTCGGCGATGCGGGTGGCGGTGCCGTCGGCAAGTTCTGTGGCCGGGATGGCCGGGTAGTGGAGCAGACGGAACTCGTTCTCGGCGCGGTTGTGGAGCGTCTTCATGTGGTCCTCGGAAACTCCGAGAGCGATGGCGAGGGCGGAGAGGAGCTGCATTTCCGTCTTGAAGGCCTTCTCGTAGAAGGACTCCATGAAGCCGCGGAAACCTGGAAGGCTCTCTTCGGGAATCCATAGGTTGTCGACGAGGTCATCTTGGGCACTGCCCATGTCGAGCGTTTCCTGGTGCGTGTGAGCGATCGTTGGTGTAAATAAAGAGATACTCGTAGACCGACCTTGATATCGCGAGTCTTTCCAGGTCCAAGACCCTTCTCATAGCCGCTAATGTTGGCGACATTCTCCTGGCCGATGAAGCTGTAGCCACGGTTGGGGTTGGCCTGAGGAGGATGCTTGGCCTCCATCTTGGTCTCGAGAGGCAGAGCAAAGAACTTGCGGCTCTAGAAGTATTCCCAAGTCAGTCCGATACAATCCCACTCAGATAGTATAAACCTACCATGTCGAAGAGCTTGTGAATATCTTCATCCGGAATGCTGTGGTTCTGGATCTTGACGCCACCCCTCAACTTCAGTAGGCGGAGGAGCTCCGTGCAAAAATATCTCTTCTCTTCAGGAGTTCCGAAGAACAAGGACATATCGAGAGTGGCACCCTTATCTGACATGTTTGCTGCTGATAGAAGAGTAGATATGCGTTGTAGATCGAGAGGTTTGAGCTGTGAGAGAGGTAAAGTGATAGAGAAGGGTGATGTTGAATGATGATAGGTTGATGGTTTGTCTGATTGATCTGAAGTTTGAACAGCCTTCATGGACGGATCTCAGACATCTTAAATATCACTTTCAGCTTACTGCCAACCGCCTCTTCCGCCAAATATCCTCTTCGTCTGGTCCTATCTTGACGTTTCAGACAAGTCATGGTATCAGATGGAAATAGTTCAAAAAAGGCAAGCATACAATAGGCACATTACGGAATTGGAAGCTAGTTACTGCAAACATACCGTAGAGTTTCACTTCGTCGTCGGAACGAGCATCGCATTGCCTAGATGGGCCCCAGAAGAGAAAGAGAAGCCGATGCAGCGGTGTATGTATGCGCTTCCCAAAGGGGTAGGCAGGTATGTGGGGCAAGCAGCTGTCGCCGAAGCAGGCATGAGAACCCGACCCCGCGTTTCCATGGGTCCCGGCTACGAATGGCGAGTGATAAGAGTGATGTTATCATTAAATAATTCATTTTCTTTTGATTACCTCTTTAGATATTTTGAGACTAATCTAGAATTAATGTCATTCCTACAGCTCAGATGCTTTGGAGATAGACATGGCTCATACTCAACGCACACTGTGAAGACGTGCGAGACGGTAGTTAGCTAGGCCCAGGCCCAAGGCCTAAATCCCAGCCTGAATCCTACCTTTACGTAAGGGGTTAGCTACACTACTTTATAGCTAGGTATACCTAATACTTATAGCTAGATTAATTAAGCTACTTTATATAGGTTATAAGCCCTCTAAATACTTAAATCTATCTACTAGATAGTAAAGTTATTCCTAAGTAGCTATTAAAACTTTAATTTTATAATTTAATAATTACTATAGAGTAATTAATAGATTATTAAACTACTAGAAGTAATACTTTTAAGTAGAGGTTATAGCTATTATAATATATATCTCCTATTTATAAAATCTCTTTAACCTTTAAGTTATTAAAGTTAATAATTATTTAATAATTATTATAGTTATATAGTAATAACTACTTAATAAATATCTAATAATTACTTATAACTACTTTTTAAACCTTTTTTAAACTATTAAATTAATTAAATAAATTAATATATCTTTAACTAATAATTTAATTTTATCTTTTTTTAGTTTTATTAAAAGGGGATTATTTTAAACTAGCTCTCCCCCTTTTTTTACTATAAACTTTATAGTTAAAGTAGCTATATAGAAAGTAATTAATAAGGGATTAGATCTAAGAAGTTTAGTATATAATACTATCCTTAAACTAACTAAAACTATAAGTTTTAAATTATAAGAGATTAATCTTAAGAATACTTTTAAAGTAATAAGATTACTTTTCTATTTAATAGCTAAAAGGATATTAGTTAGATATAATAGAGATATAATCTTTAAAGAAAATAAAGTAGTAGTAGTTAAGAATTTAAGATCTTTAAGTAATCTAATATTTATAGGTTTTATATTTACTAAATAGTTATTTATAGAGAAGATTTAATATAATCTCTTAGAAAAAATAATTAATAATAATTTTTCTATTATAGCTTTAGCTTTCTATATCTTTATTAAAACTAAAGAATATACTTAGAAGTTTAATAAGCTAGTTATAAATAAAATTTATAATAATTAGAATAGAATAACTAGAATTAATTATAGAAATACTAAGGATTTTATTTAAGATTTTTACTTAATTTTTAATAAACTAAATAGTTTTAGTATAAGTTTATTAACTATAGCTCTTACTTATAAACTTATCTAAGGTTTTAGATATTTTAATTAAACTAAAGTAAATATTATAGAGAATAACTTTATTATAGAAATTTATACTTATAATAACCTCCTATAAGAACTTAGAAGCTTTAGTAAAAAGGAATAATATAAATAAGCCTCTTAAAGTATTAAGGCTTTATTAAATAAGAAGAAGTTTATTATAAAAAAGTAAACTTAGTCCTCTAAACCTATAAATAATAGAGAGATATAGTAATAAGATTTATATACTTCCTATAATTCTAAGTATCTATAAAACCTTTATAGATATAAGATATACTCCTACTATTATAGAAAAGCTTCTTTATATTTTATTTCTTATAATAAGTACTTATTAAAGTATTATAAGTATTATATTATAAAGTTTAATAAGTTTAAGTACTTAAATATACTATAAATAACTATATAAATAACTATATAGGTATCTATTTTAGTATTTACTTTAGAGGGTTAAATCTAAGATAGTAT